AATTTCCCCCTTTTTACAATTTACAACCGCCAACCTCTAACTTAACCAGCCCCCCTTCTAACCTCCCCCCTTTCTAGCCCCCCTTCTTAAGCCTAAAAATTACCTTTAGCGCCTGGTGCTAAACCTCTCAAGAGAAAACCGTAGACCTGTTTCCAGGCCTGCTCAAGTAAAAACGTTCCTCAAAACTGGGGGATTTCGCTTATCCAATTTTACACTTATCTCCTATAATGTAATGTGGATTCTAACGATACCCGTTCTGCCCAACTTGAGAACTCGAGAACTGTCAAATCCTTCTTGGCTGCTTTCCCACTCGACTGATCACCTGTTCCAGTCCAGTCTCCAATTGGTTCAGCTCAAGTGTTCCTGAACCAGTTTCCCACTCGGCCGGTCACCTCTTCCAGTCGAGTCTCCTATTGGATCAGCTCAGGTGTTCCTGAACCAGTATTGGTTCAGCTCAGGTACTCCTGAACAACCTTCCCACTCGGCTGGTCACCTCTTCCAGTCAAGTTTCCTTGTTGTCCAGCTAAGTTCCAAGCTATCTGAAAACCCTTGACAACGCCCCACACTCGGGCACTTTATTACGGTTACTGGGTTAAATTGCTAGGTTGATCGAAACGATCGAACTTATAAAACAGTATGGGTATACTATTTAATTAATATAAAGGTTTGATCCAACTGATCTGGTGTCAAAGTCACTGTCTTTTTTCGTTTTATGGTTTTTGTTCCTTTTTCTATTCTTTTTTGGTTTTTTTGTTTTGCTTTTTGTCTTTTTGCTCGTGTTTTTGTCCCCCTAGTTGCCCCCCTTTACTCGGTTAGCTAAGCCTCGTTCGGAGAGCGTACCAGGAAATTTTCTCGAGTTTTCTTAAAAAGCTATCACGGTACAACCGGAAGGTTTGCACGTTCCTGTCGAACCGTACCGCCGGTACTCTAGAATGGGCATTCAGTCCGAAGCTGTATCAAGTGGGTTTGACTCCGTAGTCTTGATGTCGTAAACACCCAGGAGCGCCATAAAAACACTATGTAACATTCGTCTACTACAGTCACACATGAGGCTTAAGAAAAATAGGCCCTATAACTATTGGCTCAGGAGTCAGGGACACTATCTCTTGTGTTTTTCCACCTCAAATCAGTCGGAGCCAATTCGGTTCGCTTGTGACATGAGACTACGACCCGCTACTGCTTAAGGCTACTACCAAAATATCCCCCCACTCTAGAATTAAGAACGTCCCCATACTTAGGTCTCAAAATACCCAAAATACATGAACGCCGTTAAAAACCGGGTCGGAACAATCCGTTAAGTTACTTTTTTATTAGACAGTGGAACTTTGATCCATTTCAGATGGATCAACCTAAAACTCGCCTTACCTCAACATAACAATCATAAAACACACTCTAGAAATTTAAATTAAGGACTCACATGTTGATGCGCTCAAGCACAGGAAGTAATTAAATGGGTGAGCAACTCTAGAATTAACTAAGATAACTAGATAAGTTCAATGTTTATCAGTTTGAATGGCAAAGGTAAGTTTGAACTCTAGAATGAAGTTTTATTTGGACCATTGGGACACTCAAGCTGTCCACCTTTCCGTCGAAGGTTCACTCTGGTCCAGTTCAAATAATTGTTCTCTCGGGAATACTCTGTCTTCTATTTCAGATAGGACAGTTCTACTCTTGTTCACTATGATGGAAATTGCGAATAGCAATTTCCCACTCTTTTTTATCTGACAACTTTCCCGCAATTGTTCTGAATTTGTTCTGATTTCTTTCTCTGATTTTCAGTTATCGCGAGAAAATCGTGCATGACATGTTCCATTCGAAATTTTGAAAAATTTAATTTCACTCCAAAATCAAGTGTTCTCCGCTCTTCTCAAGGTCAAACTTCCAAATATGACCGACTGGCACATACTCCCCGGACTCGAGATCGATGTCCTCATCGCGCGCTGTCTTTTGCCAGTGAGTCCCAGAAAAACCGAGTGTTGCTCAAGATACAGTGCCAGTGGTCATTTACAGAAGTTTGCAGCAGATTCAAGATTATCTACACCCCAAAATTCACGGCCATTTAAAATTTTCACACTATTGCTAAACAGCAACCAAAATCTGCATTTACCTGCACCCTTGAATTTTCGCTTTTCAAGCCAATCATTTAAAAATCTCTTTTGTCCTATTCAATCAGGAAATTGTCATGCAGCATTTCGATTTATATAATAAATATAGTATATTAGTAACAATATTTGCTTTGTTAAAATTTCTTTTTCGTGAATCCAAGTTTCACTCGGATTCACACTCAAGCCCCCCTTTCCTCTCAAGACTCAAGATCCATCCTATTTGCCCATTCATCTCGTACTCTTCGCCTTGGAGGTACTCGGTGTTATGCGATCAATGAGGACATTGATGGGGACTGTCCTTTATTAGTAAAAAGGAGGGCGGAATTTTCTGGAATTTTTAATTTTCAAAAATTCGAATTGTGACGTCACATTTCTGAGAAATGCAAAAACGGCCATTTTGAGCCGAAAAACAGAAGAAAACAGAACAACAACCGAAATAGCAGGAGACAGTCGGTAGAAGATATCAATAAAACGAAGCCTCTTATCGTGTCGATCACGCACGATAAGACAGCTAATCAGAGACAACAGACGGAAAGGAGGCTTAGTGGGGAAGGAAAAAAGAGCAGTACCCTCCCGTACCAAGAATTGGGAGTAATAACGACGTTATTACAGAGAAATCACGGAAGCGGAGGCTCGGCCCCGCAGAGACAGTATATGGCGAAGGACTATAAGAAGAACTGACTTTTTAGGTACTCTGATGCCATAAATCTTTGAATTAACACCGGTATTATTTGATATTTAAGAATATGAGTAGCTAGAATGAGAAAAGGGTCAATCCATCTCCAATGGATTTAATATAGAACTGGCACCAAAAACATAGTAAAATAGGATATTCGAGCAGTGTTTTTAATAGCAATCATGTAGTCTGAGGATCCGAGACCCAGCTATGTGGTTGTGTTCGCATGTAAACGGAAGCTGATTAAAAGTCGATGATTGATGGCCTAAAAATGGTAACTTTTCACTTAGCCCTAGACAGACCAAAAAATCAACTGGCTAGGTCGAGACGGTGAAAAACGAGTAGAATTTAGGTAACTGACGCCGGCCAGTCGTTAATAGGTACTTTTTCTACGCTCCATCACTGTGTAGTATTTGGGCGAATGTTACAAGTAGATATATCTGCCCTTGCACTGAATTTCAAGTAAAGGGACTACTAGCGACGGGAGAGCTCAAAAAATGATCCGAAATAAAACTTGTCCAAAATGGAATTTAACAAGAAGAGCCTGATTGATTCCAGAACATGCTTATTGGCGAAATACAAGGGTGCGTTGAGAAAACTCAGCAGAACCTCTATTTTGGCACTAAATGTTGAGGGAGGAATTAATCTTTGAATGAGCTTCCTGATGGTTGAAAAACTAAATGAATCAGATCAGTTTTTTTCGGGGCAAATATTTGATAAAGATCTTTGATGTGATCATCGTCCATGATTACGCAATCTTCAGAATCCAAAAAGAGGTAAGAGAAAACGCAACAAAATTGATAAAACTTGATCATGACACATGAGTGGAGAGCTCGGATTTCTTGAGAATCAGGGTAAAGTTAAAAGCTATCGAAGCTGCAATGGTAAAATTGGTAATGAAAAATTATGAGGAATTGAACAATGAGAGGCAAGTATGCGTTTTTAGCAACCCTTTTTTATAAGAATCAAATTTTAGATTTTTTTGGCCGATTAAAACTTCTTTTATTTTCGAAACTTACCCTGCCTTACCTTAGATTTTGTGTTCAATTCTTAGAACGGGCTCCAGGAAGTACTTTTTTTTATGCGACTTCGCACAAATTTTTTGACTTCAAAAGTTTCTCGCTAACTCTACTGCCAAATCTGATATTATAGGTTTGATCGAATGAATAGATTGCTGATAGCCTAGCTTTCCAATTAGCTATGAGCAGTTTGTTTATAAAAAGTTATGGCCTTCCAACAATTCGAAGATTTCAAACTTCGACAGTTTTTTTTGGAAACTTATTGACTTTAGGCGAAAACTACTGGGCCAGTTTTCAGGTTGTGTTCAATCGAGAAACCCGGTTTTGGGAGACGTATCTGCTTAAGTGGCCATAATCTGCTTTTTCAGAAAAGCGTTCTGGATTTTGGAAAGTCTTTTTCAAGTTTATAGATTTTTCGACCGCTTTTTAGAAATTTGTTTAGTGTTCTTAAAATTCACACAATCAAGTCTGATAAGAAAAAATGCATTGAAAGAACGGGTTGCGATAATTGTTCCTGCTGAAGAAGCGATCCCTTAATTTTTTGTGAGAGAAATGTTATCTATTTGGTAAATTTGATTATATCAATTTCTTAGTCTTCTCACTTATTTTTGAAATCTTACTTTTCGTACCGCATCAGTATAGGAAACTCATTCAATATTTTACATGTACCTCCAGCTTTAGCTGAGCGTGTAGCGGTTTTTTTTATCGAGACTTTCGAAAAATTTGGTTCACCTAGTTTTTTTCATTGTCTAAAATCTTTCGTCTTATGTTTTAATGTATATCGCAGGGTAATCAGAATGTCAAAAGTATCATAGTAACCACGGTAACAGTCAGGAGTCCCTTCATCACGTATTCCAGTCAAAATCCTTGGAATGTTCTAGGTATGCAAGTAGTTCGAAGCTCCGCTTCGCCTCTGTGTGAAAATTTGGTTTCTTTCTGGCATTCCGAATGGTCTTTGTGAAGTTTCTACTGATGCAGCTATTTTTCGGATTTTTTCGTCTTTGTTGCAAATTTCTCTATTAACAACCACGATTGTTTGAAGTTTTTTTCCGTTTGATTTTGATCAGAAAGACATTCATATTTGTATCTAAAGTGGCCCGCGAAGCTCATGTGTAAGAAATACGAGGAGTTGGTATATTTCTTTACATCCATGTTTTAGAGCACAGGCTGAAAGATCAGATCGTCATTTTCTCGTTATTTTTCAGGGTTTTGATGGTTCTTGAAGAATGATTCTAAATATGTTACAAGACTTTATGAACGGAAATAATTGTGGCTTGAATATAGAAAATGCGCGAAAATGGCTGACTATATATTCTGTTGACTCTCAATTTGAATATACTCTGTCGGAATTGAGAGAACTACTGAATTCTCCAGACTTCCAGATTTTTGTTAACGATGCTGTCGTTTTTGATGAAAACTTGTGTTTAGAGTTATTATCAAAATGTTTACCGGAAATGGTATCCATTATTGTGTCCACAATTTTCTGTGAAAAGTTATGTTTGCACATTTTAAAAAATTTGAAGCATAGTGAATCGGAAATGGAAAATGAGGCGACACTACAGAGGCTGAGATTACTATCTGGAAAATTAAAGTTGCCGGTGTCCGCGGACGTCGTCATTGTAGCAGTAAGGAATACGAGCAAGTATTTCGAGTTATATAGTAAGATTATGGCGCTGTTTCCATTACCTGAAGTGTGCGATTACATCCTTGGTCAATATCCAAAAGAATTCAATTTCTGGAACTTATTTTTCAAATACTTTTTCTCTGATAACACATCTACCGACAAAAGACTGTTAATTTACCTACTGAGTGAAATTTTTTATGCAGCAAATAAGGTGACGGAGAAGTCGACCCATTGGGGTCTTTGCTCTTCAGATAAGACGCTGAGAAAAAAATATTCAGAACTCAGTTTGAGCTTGCAACAGTGTGCTTCAAGCACTGTTGACGAACACCTTATTGAAGCGGCAAATATTTTACCGTTAGTTAATTCTGGAAAAATGGGCGTGCAATGGTTTTTGTTGCTGCTAGACATTATTTTAGCGAATCACAGCGCATCCGTCGTTCGTCAAAGTTTGCGGCTGTTCTCTGAAATTGATTGGGATCACCTTATGATTAGTGAAACTGAATTCGATATCATAGAAAAATTTCTTCGTAATTCTATATGTACAGCCGCTATGAAGCAGAGTGTTTTTGAAACTTCTCCAATGGCTTCCGAAATTATCAAACCACTAGAATCAATATGTCTCAGAAGTTCTTATTGTTTGGTTTCTACATGGGATCTAGTTATTAAATACAGTGGTAACTACGTCACTAAATTACATTACTTACAATTATTTATAAACTGTGGGTTAAAAGGCCAGAAGTTGACATTGAACCGCGATAATTTAGTATCGCTGCGTGAATGCATTGCTTCGTATTCTTGCATAGCCGAACCTCTGCGAAGTGCCTTACTTTCTGCTTCTTTGTTTTGTGGACAGATTGTGTTTGATTGGCGTGGTGTAGATTTCGCGCTATTTGAGTTCTTTCTCTCAATTTTCAAATTTTTTGATTTTGACTTGTGGATAATCTTATCAAAGTCTCAAATTACTGCTAGAGTTGTAAAATCTCTCTCAAATGTTTCTACTGTCGACATAGATTTAGAAATATTGCCATTCAAAAATTATACTGATTATGACTGGGAGCTCCGATTGAGAAATCAAGTCAATACCTTACATCAGAAGAAAGATCACAATGATGAAACTGCTGTCGATGAAAATTTTATCGATATAAATTTTATACAGTCGCTCTGTGGCAAATGTGACGATGAAAAAGACTTCGCATTATTTCAAAGCTTCCTTAGACAAAACTACTCGGAAACAATCGATAAACAGTTGTCAAGGGTGTGTTCAGTCCTTGAAGAAAAGAACCAAGAAAGTCTTGAGTGGGTAGCAGTTTTAATTAGCTCAATTGAGCTCACACCAGGCTTGGATGCTCAGAGTGTGTGTGACATTTTGAACTTTCTAGTCAATAAGATCTCTTTATGTAAAAGTTCAAGGAGGCAGTATCTGCGAAATCAAATTTTGTCAACATATCAATGGAAATCAGTTGCCAAAATAATCAGTTTTTTCAAAAGCTTGGGAATTCAAGACCAGCAAAGTTTCCGAGACTCGGAGAAAAAGTTGATTGTAGTTGCCTCTGATGTGTTGGAATCAGCACCTTTACTGCTGGTGGACGGCATCTTGATGTGTTTAGAAACTTGCGAGGAACTTTATTCAGAAGTAAAGGCTTTTGAAGAGCTTTGCAATCTGGCTGTTAACAGCTGTGTCTTGTACTGCAGAAAAGAAGCAGGTATGTTATAATAGCTTTGAAGGTTTCTTGTCGTCACAGTAAAAAGTAAGGGTCACGTTAGACCTGAAAAGCTAGCTCAATCTATTGAATCAACCATACAATATCTCCCAAAATTGATCCAATCTATCTTGAGTGACGCATCGATCATATGATTTTGGGTTCGAATCGCACATGGGCTGCAATTTATAAGGTGAGCTTATTGTAAGATGCCATAGCTTATTTAACCTTAAATAATTAACCTTCGGGCTAGGACTCTTGCTGGTTAACTTTTTTTAGAATATCCTTTTGGCTGATTTTTTATTTTGACTAAATAGCAAAGATAAGTTATCAAGATTTAACTAGGCCACAATAATACAGATTACAAAGGTAAGAGACAAACGTTTAAATTAATACATCACCATTTGTTGGATTTTTTGAAAATCCGACGAAACGCGTGAAAGCAAGTGTCTTTAAGCACAGTTCACAGCTATCACTCATCCGCTTCAGTTGGCAAATCCGTCACCATGATGCTCTGTTTAAAATGAGGGTCGCGTTTCCTCTCATGAGTTCCACTTAACTAAACTGATCGGGACATTTCTTGCCATGTTTAAGTCTCTTTAAGTCAGTTAAGCCTTGTAACCATCTTTAAATGTTTTAGCTGCAGTCTTTAGGAGCAAATCTATGTTGTAGATGTAGGTTTAAGCGTGTTCTTGCAATAAGCGCGTTTTAGTTATTACATCAGTAGGTTCTAGCTATAAGCATTATCAATCTATACATTTTTAACTCTAGACATATACAGTTTCACTTGACATATATCTAAGGAGTTTCCATGTTGACAATGTATTGCATGTTGCATTGCAATGTATACTGAAGTTTTTAATTCGAAAGTTCAGGTACATCGTGTTATCCATACAAGCATTTTTCAACCCTTTGGTAGGTTGCTGTCAGGATACTTACATGGGATGCAAAACTCGCCTCCAAGAATGACTGAAACTCAAATCTTTTAAGTTTCCGAAACAAAATTCGTTTTGTCTGAGTGATGCCGAGATTTTTGTAGGGATCGACGATTTTGCCTCCAAAAAATAACTGCTAAAATCTTTTCAGCTCCTGAGGTATGACTTATAAAAAAGTTTTTTTTCTTAATTTCCAAAAATTTAGTATGTATTCATCCAAATTTGATAATGGCCGACCCTTTTTTGAGGTAATGCCACAGAAGTCACTTGGTTTTCAGGCGTGGCATCAATTTACGACTACTCAAATACTGTTAGTTTTCAATAAAAATTTTCAATATGTTCTTTTACTTTTTTTTGAACGTTAACTTTCAAGCTCCTTTTCGCTTGGTCTAGTGGTATAGCAGTTGCCTTCGCACTCTCAGGTCAGGGGTTTGAGTCCCACCAGGCCTTGTCTTTTCAGTATATATTAAATTGAAAAATTGCATTGTTGGCCTTTCATTTGTCTGTTTTTGCTTTTCGGCTTAGTTGCCACAGCATGAAGTTTTCTTGTGCTGTAAGCAGTTTTGATTTAAGTTGCGAATGTTGTTGGTTTAGTTATGTTAATTTTTGCTAACTCTGATTAAGTACTTTTTCTTTTTTTGTTTTTTTTTTCAAATAAAAGCTCTATTAGGGCTAAATAATTTTGGCATACGTTTTATTGGATTATTGAACTTGTTTAAGGTACTTAGAGGGGCAAAAATTGATCATAATTGATAAAAAACTCAGGTTAGTTGTGGTGTAAATGTTGAAAGATTTAAAACTCAATCGCTCAAGATTTTTAATGACAACTAAGGTTTTTTTTGGCTCAATAAGTGTCTACCCATTATTGTCTGGCTTAGTGACCAGTTGGTAAATTATATTAAAAAAATTTCATGCTGGTAGTTAATTCTCGACTGTTTTTCTGAAAGTGAATTTTTCCTTTTTTTTATTTTATACTTAGTTATTTCTGTCTCATTTTTTGTCCGCTAGCCTGCAATGGTATGCCTGCGTTATATCGCAAGTTATGCGAAGCTACGATTTGCCTCTGTATTAATATTCGGCTCTTTTTCCCCATAAGCATCAATCTCATGTTGTAACGAGTTGTTTTACAAGGTTGGGTCTGAAAACCAAGTATGTTTGTCATGGCCTAATTAGTCCGTATGCCAAATAACAATCCGACCAAGTGAACAGAAAGTTCACTCTAAATAATTTGCAGATGGAGGGAAAAGGAAAAAGCCTTATATTCTTGCATAACAATTGTCTCAGGCGTGAGACAAGAGACAATTGTCTTCCTGCCAAACAATTGTCTCTTGTCTCAACTTTTCCCTAGCTTTTATTCGTTTGGCGGTTCACGTAAAATATGTTTAAGAATTCCCTTTGTTGACATGCTTAAGTAGTAGCTACGCAACTGTTTTTTCACGAGGGAATTTATTCACGATCAGAGGGCCGCGAGGTCTGAGGCTAGTGAATTAATTTCCCGATTGGGCGAAAAAACAATTACCAAAATTGCTTTAGTCTACGAAACATGTATGTGTTCATGCTTAATTTTCACATGCTAAAGTTGTTGTTTTCTGATTTTAAAACATGTTTCAAATTACCTCTAAACAGCTCACTTGCGATCATGCTTGTAAAATTTTTTGTACGCCGATTGAACGCATGTTGCAGATTAACTAGTTTCGTTCATACAGCAAATATTACGTACTGATTTTTGCATGAACTGCGTATGAAACACGCAAGTTGACTAAGAATTGATAAACGTTATGAAGACTCATGTATAGGTCTTGTTGATTTTATAATATCTTTTAAAGGAAAAGTCTTAAAATGCTCCACCAACTACTCATGTGCATTCATCTATTATACATTCAAATGCGGAATTCACTATCTCGCCATGTTTAAGCTTTTTCAACGTATTCTTTTTGCATGTTTAACGGAAGAATTTTTGCACGCTTCAGCTTTATCGTATATTGCAATGCTTCAGAATTTTTCTCAATTTTCCAGCTTGAATTCAGTGTTTTTTGTCAAGTCTGAAATTAGCAACTCAAAAGTGGGATGCTGTCAGTGTTACCATAGGGGTTGCAAATAAGTCCAAATATGAACACCCGAATTTTTTTTAGTTTAATTGATTTGAAGATTCTTGTGACTTCTTCAAAATCTTTCTGGAAACTGTGATTCAAAACATCCCACATAAATTGAAGTTCTCAAACTCGTAGTTGGGTGAGTCAGGGTACTCTCAGGGGTTGCAAATCTTGCCTCAAAAATGAATGCTCAAATTTTAGTTTCCGAGACTTTTTGCAATTAACTTTGAGATTATCAACTCTTTAGGTGAGGTGCTGTCAGGGTACTCTTAGTCGTTGCAAACCTTGCATCCAATTGTCACTGCTCAAATCCTTTTAGTTTCTTAGATATGACGTTTTAAAGATTTTTTCAAAAATTTTTGAAGTACATTAGATATTTGAAAAAAAAACTTTTTAATAGTTGAAGTTCTCTTTTTTATAGTGTGAGTGGCTGTCAGTATACCCCCAGTCGTTGCAAATCTTGCATCCAAATGTGACTGCTCAATTCTTTTTATGTTCCGAGTTTTGACATCTTTATGATTTTTTCAGAAATTCCCAGAAAAGTTAGATTCAAAAATATCCCAAGATTGTAGTCAGGTGCTGTCGAAGTACCTCAAAGGTTGAAATTCTTGCTTGCAAAGGGGACTGCTCAATGCTTTTGGTTTCTGAGATATGATTTTTTTTTCAATATTTTTCAAACTTTTCGAAAAAAGACTTGAATTAAAAAAAGAAACGTTTCAGAGTTTGAAATTCCAACCCTACAATGGTTTGTTCACTGGGTACTCTCAGAGGTTGCGGATCTTGCCTCAAAGTTTGATTGCGCTTATAATCTTAGTTTCTGAGATATGCAGTTTTTGATGCCATTTTTAAATTTTTTAAATGAAATAATAAGATCTAAATTAGTTTCCAAGCTCAAAATACTCAACACTATGGCGAGGTGCTCTCAAGGTACTCTCAGTATGTTTGTCTGGACTCCATTTAGGACTGCTCTTTCCCTTTCGTTTTCTTAGTTTTGACGTTTCTATCTTTTTGAAAAATTTTCAAAAAGGTTTGTTTTCAAATAAACGCTTTTCAAGTTTCGAAATTGTCGACGTTTCAGTGGCGTGATGTCAGGTTACTACCCGCGGATGCATATTTGGCCTCTCATCCTCATGTATTTGCTCAAATCTTCTCATTGAACTTACTTCAATGAAAGGAAAAAAAGTCTGCTGTATTAAAATTAATTACGATGGATTATGAATCCCATTTATGAATTTGATTATTTTACAATTGATTATTTCATTTTTATTATGGTAAGTGCAGTTGTCTGCTGTAGGCTATTTTAGGATTTTTTAACGAAGATTTGAAACTCAGTAATTACGGAGATTTGAACATCCAAGTCAAAATTTTTTTTATCGTCATGAAATCAAAGTGTTGCTGGATTTCCGTCATTTTTTTCGGTTACATTTATTTCGCTGTTTTTTTTCCATTTATTATGTATAAACAGCTTTCATGTTCACTAATTTGTTTGAAGCACCGGAGGTGCGTTACACGCTAGCAGATATTAATGCAATTATGAATGCACTTATGTAAATGTGTTTTTTTTGGGTTCATTTTCAATTCATCTGCTGAAAGTTATGTCAATTGCACTCTCCTCATACGAACCTGGAAATGGCGCGAAAAAAACGGTAATGGTTTCACCTTCAAAAGTGGATTTTTTAATATAAAGATTTCCCAGCGGAATAAAAGATTACTTACTTTGAAATTCGAAAAATGAAGTTTTTTCAAAATTTTTCCAGTTTTTTGTTTCCTTGCGTTCATTGACCCTTTTTCAACTGTCTGTTGAGCATGTTAAATAAAGTTCCAATATTTTGCAACGTTTAATCATACATCTATGATTAAACATAAGTTTTAATCATACATATGCTTTAACTGTTTAGTTTTTCCTTTTTCACAATGCAAACTTCTTCAGGCTTTTTGTTGGTATTTTTGGTCAAAATTGAAACTTTCATCCCCACGTGTCAGGTTACACTCAAAGCTGCAATCTGGCCTTCTAGTATTACTCCTCAAATCCCTCTGCTTTTTGTTTCCTTGCGTTCATTGACCCTTTTTCAACTGTCTGTTGAGCATGTTAAATAAAGTTCCAATATTTTGCAACGTTTAATCATACATCTATGATTAAACATAAGTTTTAATCATACATATGCTTTAACTGTTTAGTTTTTCCTTTTTCACAATGCAAACTTCTTAAGGCTTTTTGTTGGTATTTTTGGTCAAAATTAAAACTTTCATCCCCACGTGTCAGGTTACACTCAAAGCTGCAATCTGGCCTTCTAGTATTACTGCTCAAATCCCTCTGCTTTTCGAGATATTGTGTTTTGTTTATAATTGGCGTGTTTCATGGTTTTTCAATCGCGCAAAAAGAAATAAAGTAAATTCCCGGTTGCGTGAAGTCAAGGACTGAGTGTTACGACCGGTCGTTGCTCAGAATCAGGAGCGAATGGAAATAATTACTTCTCGAATTTGAAATTCTCGACACTTTTCTGAGATGAGTCCAAAGTATTCCCATGGTTTACAGGTAGAACCTCGAAATTTGACTGCTTAAATTTCAAATAGACTTGGAGGAAAAAGAAAACTTATCGAAAATTGTAATTCTTGTCCTTGAAGTGAGTTGATGCCAGGCTAGTTCCAGGAGTTACATATATGGCCTCAATTTCTACCCTTGCGATAAGCAAGGGTATTGCAGCCTGGTACTCGACTTTTTCCCCGGAAATAACTTTGTTCACAAAATGGTCAATTTAATTGGAATGGGAGATAGCACTTCTGATATGCTCAATTTCGTGAAAATTGTAAATAAAACTAACATCATTTAAGAAGTAATTTGGTAAAGCCCGTTTCAGGTTGTAATTTTTTTTCAAAAAATTTTCTGAATTTTTTTTCTGGTTGTGGTTTTCGATCTAGCTTCTGTCGGTTCATTTTCCATTTTTTTAACGCCGACTTTTAACTTTTCAGGGTGCTATTTTTGGAGAGATAACCATTTTGGTAGAAAATAGCCTAAAAATAGAGTTTATAATTGTCATTTAATGAAACAGAAATTCTTGGAGGGGCCCAGTTTAATTTAACGGTTGCATGAAATATCGCATTGTTTTTTTTTGTATATAGCTTAGGAAGCTCTTTTCTCGTTCAAAAATTGTTTTAAAGCACCGTAGGTGCGAGTCATGCGCTAGTTTTATTTGATACTTAAACTGGCGAATAGATAGATAACTATTCAATTTGAATTGTTATAAGTTCGAATTAGTAGTGCCTTATCAGCCGCTGTGCTGTGATTGTTTTCTGGGGACATTATTTACTACATGAAGCTTTGTTTTTGTTATTAGGAAGCACGAGCCTAATTTCATAGAAATAGGAACCAACGCTCAAAATAACCCTGTTTTGTGGTCTGATTAAAACGCTGGTATGGTAGTATGTTTTAAATGCATTTTATATCCGTCTCTTTCTGGATGAGTTTATTCGGCGTTGGTGTTCTATGAATGCTCTGCTTTAAACATTGAGTAATGTTGAAAACTTTCGTTCTGTATAGGTTCTGATGGCTTCTACAGAGCATTCGGAAGCTTCATCGGAATGGCTTTCAGTTCGAAGTGCATCGGTGACCAGAACTTAGCAGCTACCGTTCAGAGATGCGCAGAAGTGATACTGAAGGACTGCAGAGCCTTTTCAGTTTTGACATTTGCGAACCATATTGCTGATACTCTACTGAATATGGCAAAAAACGAGCCCTCCAAGCTTGAAAATTTTTTTGAACTGCATCATTCATGGCTTATTCATTTAATGACCAGCTACTCCCTTCGTCTGGGCTATGAAGTAATGGTCCCTGTGTTACTCCACGAAGAGTTCGAAATGGTCATTGGTACTGTACCCGTAAAACAGATTCTGGACCAATTCACAAGCATGCATACACCTCGAGAAAACATCCATGAAATTCTTGGTATGTTCGCTGGAAAGAGCAGTTCTGAAAAGATTTGCAATCTGGTTATAGAGTTTCTGAAGTTTGACGTTGAACTAGTCTCTTCGCTGACAACACACCAACATGTCAATTCCTTCATTCACCAGCAGAGGTTCAGGCTTTGGAGCTGTGTTTGCAGATTAATCGAATCTTTTCCATCTATCCCAACAAATGAAGATTTTGTGATTGACGCGAGAGATAAAATCTTGGAAATCTTAAGAAATGACCAATCTGATCCGTCGCTGAGAGTTTTCATGGAAATTTCACTGTCGTTCTTACTACCTTGGAATTTATGGGACTGGGTTGGACTTCGGAACCTGGAAGCAAAATCGTCCACATTTGTGTGCTCTATCATACATTCAATTGGCTTCAAATATTTGTTTCTATCAAATTTCAATTGTTTTGAAAGTATCAGCAACAATTTGCAGTCTTTATTCACCTTTTTGAGTTCCTGGGCGACCGTTAGTCATAATAGTATTCGTTTATCTGCTCAAGCTTTTTTGATAAGGATTTGGGAAACGGTCACCGAAGAATCATCGCCTGAAAACAAAAATCTTGTCTTAAATACTGGGTTGGAGATTCAGTTTTCTTTCATTGACAAAATGATTGCTTTCTGGAAGTGTCACGAAAAACTCAAACTAGCCATTGAGAAGAACGCACATGTGATGACTTACTACGAAGATTTGTTCTCTAAAAGAAGAAGTAGCCACGAGGAAAATTACTTAAAAAAGATATCTTTCAGCGATATTTACAAGTGTATCACTAAAAGGTATGCAGTTGAAGATGAAATTGAAGGCTTGAAACCAAATGAGAAAAAAGTCTCTAAACCGAAAGAACCAAACAAGAAAAACGGTCTGGATTTATTAGATATATCATGTACGTCTCAATTGAAACCAGTGGCTGATTTAGACTTAGCAGCTGTGTTTTCCAAGGAACGAAAATTGATGGATGTCAAAATACATAAGAATTTGCACGAGATTAAGCGTCCGGGCAACTTGATTCTGATTGCTTCTTTGTTGGAGAAGATGACGAATCTTGGAGGACTGTCTCGCACAGCTGAGGTGCAGGTAGGTTTCGGACGAGTTTCATGAGATACCAGAGAGAAGCTATAACATCGAGATCATCGAGTTGATATGTGTCAGTGGATGTACTGAATAAAAATTATTCACGCTCGAATTCGATTTTCAGCTGTTTGATTTTTGATTTCTTGTCAGTTCAATTCATTCATTTGCTATAAAGAAGACAAATTACGGGGTATTCTTATGATGGAGGGACAAAATGATGGAAAACTTTAACCAATCAGAATTGTTAGACGTTACTTTTGACTAAATGACTTGTGCACTAAACCCAAGTCATTATTAATAGAAAATGAACTATAGCAGCTCAACAAAGTTTTGTTTTATTTTTTATTTTTTAAAAATTGGTCATAGGCTTTTTTCCTATACCCGATTTTGATTTCGCAATATTTGAAAATTCATCTATCTGCTAATTTTCTAGTCGGTTAAAATTAATTCTAACGGCCTGGTTTTATTCGCTTGCTTTGAGATTTTCGCGGTTTCTTTGAGATTTTTATACTTGCAAGTGTCTTGGTATCGGTAATTTGACTTTTTTCCACATAAACAACATTTCTTACAAGAAATTGAACTTGCTGTATCATTGAACCTTAACATCTTCGAGGAGGTTCTTTTCCACTTAGCCTGGAGGTAATGCGGTTGCTTTTGCACCCTAAGGTCGGGTTTGAGTCAGGGGTTTGTACTGAATTCAAAACATTTTCCGGTAAAAATTAATTGTCGGACTTTCGTTTGTCTGTTCAAAATGTGTTGGCTTATGCGCCACACCACGGGTTTTTATTTAATTGTAAGCAAGCATCATGGTACTTAAAAATATTGCTCTTTACAGTTTCAGGACTTGAAACTTCTTAATTTTTTTCTACGTCATTTTTTTGTCGGATCAACTGGTGTCTGCCTTTTTTTGAGACGCTTTGGAAAATTTTTTCGTTTTGTAAAGTTTGCTGATTTTCTCAAAAACTACTACTGACTCTCAAAGAAGGGAAAGAAATGGAAAGACCGCCTACTTCCTTGTGTACCTGCTTAATCTTCTAGTCTTTTTTTCTGTACACCAGTCTACAGAATTCGAAAAAGTCTGTGGGGCGAATGTTTGACCCATATTTTTGCAGAGAAACAATTAAGGTTTTGGGCAAAATCCAATTTCTGAAGTTACACACTTAATCCCGCATCAGCATAAAAAATTCAAAAAATATCAAACTCTTACCTCCAGCTTTAGCTGGGCCCCTAGTTATCTTTTATCGAGACATACGAAGTCTTTAGTTCACATCGTTTTTTTTTCATTATTTTCAATTTTTTTGACGTTTTCTTATGTTTGTGTTGTATCGCAAGTGTTGCTTCGCGTCTGTTTTGAATACTCAATTCTGATTGGCTCAATCACTGAAAGAAAATTTCCAAAATTCGGTCCCACTGTCATGAGGGACGCCACCAAATTACGCGGAATGGCGCGCAATTTCATCTCAAAAGTGGACTCTCATTTTCAATAAGAATTCCAAGCGAAATATATGGTTGCTGTAACCCAATTATCAAAAAAAAACGCCAATCATAGAAGATTTTGGAGCTCACTCATTTATTTCGTTGAGTTTATTTATACTTTTCAAACTGCCCGTTGGCTATGAAAGGACCCATATTCGAACAGAGAACCACTGTTGTGAACATAATTCGCAGAATTCTTAATCACTACCCCACCGCTACCTGTAAACTTGAAAAATAGTTTAAATTGCAACTTTTTAATTGTGGGGGAAACGAAAAAAATATATTGTTTATTTTAGGGTGTGGAGAAATTGGTGGTGCACAGTGTGAAGGCGTGTGAGATGAGTGGGGATTTCGTGAATCTGAGTGTGACTGCCCACAAGTGGCTCCCAATGGAGGAAGTGAAGAGTTTCCATCTGAGACCATACCTCACATCACTCATCGGACAGGGATACACTCTCATTGCACTAGGTGACTCAGTATTCGGGTTACTTTTCCTACTCCTAGATCTAAACTTTATTCATTTGTAGTCAGTTTTCTTCCCCAAAGTTATAAGAATTCAGAAGGTGAAGAACGCCTCAAGTTTTATTTGAAAAGTTTTTTGTAACAAAATTTGTAGAATAAAGGGCAAGGAAAACATATGAGAGTATTTGTATATGTCCACTATCTTGAAGCTCAAATCCGTATTTTTTTTTGCTTGTCTTACTATATGCGTGTTTTTTCAGAGCAAAGCAACAAGTCTATCCCTCTTCAATCTTACACTTTTCCCCAGAAGTCTGCAGTGCTTCTAGGCAATGAGAAGTTCGGAGTTCCTGGTGATCTACTAGAGTTCTGCTCCACTCACCTGGAGATCCCACAAGCAGGAATCATCAGGTCTCTCAACGTTCACGTTGCAGCATCACTCCTTGTATGGGAATACTCGAAGCAGAACGTACACACTGCCTAAAACTTTTATTCAATGTTAGCTTATTTTAAATAGCTATGTATTTGCTATTTGTATGGTTTTGGTGCTTAATGGAACTTTCAAAATATATTTTTTTCATTGCCATTGAGCAGGAAGCTATGAGATGGAGGGACAAGAGTGGTATCGTATTGAGGCCTTGTTGATTGTTATTTGGATATCAAAAGAATTTCATTAAAAAATTCCCAGTGTCGAGAAAAAGGGGTCCGAATTTTCCGGTTTTTCAAACTAATTAAACGATTGAAAAGTGAAATAGTGGGGGGCATACGAGTGAAAGAGTAAAATTTCTATCTAATTCTGTGGCTGTCTAACGTCATTTTTGCTATAGCCATCTCAATTAAGCAGACTTTTATCGCCGACTACAAAACATTGGAAAAAGTCAAAACAAGATTTTCTTCGATTTTTATATTTTTTATTGCTAAATATAGACAACTGTGATCGAAACATTCTGTGCTGCTTGCACAGCAATCGGGTTCGTTTTTGAGTGGGTAAGAACGAACTGAAGACGCTCATATAGCTCGTGATGTTTTTTTGCTGGAAAAAAATGTTCAATATTTTTGCACGCTCAAATTTCATTTTTCGCGGTTTGATTTCTGTAAGTTCAGTTCATTTTTTTAAAAGGAAGGGCAAATCCACTACCGAGGAACAAATTGCTGAGATTGGGGATCACATGACTGAAATCTAGTTTGACCTCAATTTCTGAATTCCAGCGGAATGTTAAAAGTTACATTTTGATCCAGATTTCTCTAATGGGATAACTTAAAGAGAAAAGTTCCAATGATATACAATTCTTGAAATTCAAAGAATTTAAATGTGATTCACATTTTCCGAATTTTGAAAAATTTCAATCCATTTTTTCGGCTTCCTTTACTTTTTTCCAACCTTAGATAGGTTCACTCCTCCAAAAATCAATCAGCATGTTAAGATGGTTGAAAAACTTCATAAGAGAGAACAGAGAAATCAAAGACATTTTCTTCTTTAAAAATATTTCCCCAAATTATGCTTCGATTCAGGTCACTCTTTCCATGAAAGGGCTCAAACTAGAATTGCCTAATAGCTCATTTGAACCCTCTTTGAATAAATTTATATATTTAACAGCATATATATTTTGATTACTCGACTTAATTCAAATTCTTCTGTTGGCAATGTTTTATTTTTTGAAATGGATAAAGAAAGTGGATTTGCCCAATTTTTCACACTCTGCATAAGGTTGCGCTTTGAGTGATTTGCTATGTAAGTGGCGTGCACATTTAAATGCATCGTGGCGTGCACGTTCAAATTGCATAGTTGAAGCAAAAAGGTGAACAAACTTTTAACTGTCAATGAACGACACTTCATATGGTACTGAAATCACGCTCAAATGTTTGACGGAAATACGTTCTCTCCATTAATAAAAACTCCCATCGCATGAAAAAACGTGTTTGACTTTTATCTTGTTACTTTGAAAATTTATAGCTCTAGTCAGGTGATTTCCAAATTGGTGTCGTTTTTTATGACAAAAATTTTGCTTTCGGCTCATTTGGAGGTTATTATTTTGTCGACTTAATTGCAGCTCAGAGCTCAATATGTTTTAAAAAATTTATTTAACTCCGCAATAGCGTGTCTGGTATCAAATAGAACATCATCCCACACAATTTTTTTTACTTCTTTTTCTTCGATTTTGTTGGCGTAGCAGCTTGCAATGCTATGTTTTTGAAGTAGAGAAAGTTGTAGGAAGCTTCGCTTCGCCTCTGCGTTGAAATCTAAAATGTTTTCATGGCATATCTTTTTGCTTTGAATACCTTGCATGAATAATCACATCAAAGGTTTTTCAGCCAGGTCTGGATCGTGGATCTATGATTTTTTTGCGGAGAGGTTGATTTTAAAACATTTTCCGAGCTATATTTTGAAAATTTATAGCTCTAGTTAGGTAATTTCCAAATTGGTGTCGTTTATGACAAAAATTTTGCTTTCGGCTCAACTGGAGGTTATTCATTTGTCGACTTAATTGCAGCTCAGAGCTCAATATGTTTTTAAAAATTTATTTAACTCCGCGATAGCGTGTCTGGTCTCAAATAGAACATCATCCCACACAATTTTTTTTACTTCTTTTTCTTCGATTTTGTTGGCATAGCTGCTTGCAATGCTATGTTTTTGAAGTAGAGAAAGTTGTAGGAAGCTTCGCTTCGCCTCTGCGTTGAAATCTAAAATGTTTTCATGGCATATCTTTTTGCTTTGAATACCTTGCATGAATAATCACATCAAAGGTTTTTCAGCCAGGTCTGGATCGTGGATCTATGATTTTTTTTGCGGAGAGGTTGATTTTGAAACATTTTCCGAGCTATATTTTGAAAATTTATAGCTCTAGTTAGGTAACTTCCAAATTGGTGTCGTTTTTTGTGACAAAAATGTTGCTTTCGGCTCAACTGGAGGTTATTATTTTGTCGACTTAATTGCAGCTCAGAGCTCAATATGTTTTTAAAAATTTATTTAACTCCGCGATAGCGTGTCTGGTCTCAAATAGAACATCATCCCACACAATTTTTTTCTATTTCTTTTTCTTCGATTTTGTTGGCATAGCAGCTTGCAATGCTATGTTTTTGAAGTAGAGAAAGTGGTCGGAAGCTTCGCTTCGCCTCTGCGTCGAAATCAAAACGTTTTGAGGGCATATCTTTTTGCTTTGAATACCTTGCATGAATAATCACATCAAAGGGTTTTTCAGCCAGGTGTGGATCTGTGATTTTTTTTTTGCGGAGAGGTTGATTTTAAATTATTTTCCGAGCTATATTTTGCAAAATTTATAGCTCTAGTTAGGTAATTTCCAAATTGGTGTCGTTTAAAGAAAATTGTTTTTAGCTTGTGTAAGTGAAGCTAAGCTTAGCATCTTCAAAAGTACACTTTTTTGAACCTCATTGAACGAAGTGAGGACACTTATTCAAGTCGCGTGGTTTCCGGGTTTTTGTTTGAGGAGAAGTACTAAGTTGTTCACGCCAACATATTTTTTTCTCGGTTGTAGATATGAGTTTTTTAATGCTCCTCAAGTTTAAATTACGTGTACAAAATTACACTAATTGCGGGACTAGTATAAAATAGGACTTCTCCGCGGAAGAAACAACCTTTTCTCAAGTGCGATTTTTTCTCAAGTTTATTAGAAAAGTTCCTTGACACTTTCAACTGGCTGTTAAATGTTAAACTGGCTGTAGTTTAAAATGTTCCTTGAGACTTCCAACTGGCTTTTTACACAAGCAATGCTTGTGTTAGAGTATGAACAATTTTTCTTTTCCAACCTAAGTCGCAAATATTGTTGCGACGCAAATATTGTTGCGATAAAATGTGTTCATTTTGAAAGTGATCATTTTGATCAATAACCAACTTTTAAGTATAGCCAATGCTAAGGATTTTAACGCTGACTATTATTGTTCCCACTTTCGAAAGTAACGGAATATTTGTGCTCCGGTGGGTTTTTTTTCAGACAAATTTCGACTTTTTAACTAGCCATTTTTGACGGGATTTTTATATATCATTCAAAAAGTATTGTTGTCCTGAGCTTAAATTTGGAAAGATATTTCACCTGTGATCATTTTTCGTAAATAATGGGGTTTTAAAAATTGCCATTTTGGCCACTTTGGGACAATTAACGCGCGATATATTTCGCGCTATTAACGCGTAAGCGGAGATTTAATCCTTCATAGAAATCGTTCCAAGTTGGTTGAAGGAAGCTTATTTGCCATAATTGTTTTGTTACTAGGGGCGAATTTATCACTCTGTTTTTATTATGGCGTGTGGGGGCCATTCATTTTTTTTATTACATTTAATTTTTTCATGTTATTACTGCTCTATAAATTGAGGCATGTTAGTTGGTAAATTTCTTTTTTTTTCACAATGAATGGTACTGCTAATGCGTCAGAATGGGCGTGCGTCACTTGAAAAAGTTTGTAGACTCAAAGTTTTACTCATGCTGTTTTTCCCAGTGGCGTTATCGGTCATATTTTTGCTTGTGTATGCGAAGTGCAACTTCGCCTCTGTGTAAATGTTTTGAAATGAACATTAACGTTCTTAATGATTTTCGACATATTGGGGTCTTTGTTAAACGAAAGTGTTTGAAGATCAAAATCAATTTCCGAAACAATTAGAAAAAAGTTCTTTTGTTTTTATTTTCAGTTTTAACTGCGCAAATATTTTGAAATTTTGAATTAATTGATAAGAAAGATTTATACGCTTCCAATTTTCAAGTGTTGTGAAATGGGCGCGTTTTTTTTTTCAGTAAGCAGATTATCTGACGAAATCATTGAAGTATTTGAAAGCTTGATTTACTGTCAAGTGGCTTTCATATCGTGCTTCAATGCTGCTGGTAATCAAGTTCCTCTGAATGTTGGAAAAAAATTTTTTTTTGCTTTACGACTTTCGAGAGAATTGTTTCAGCAGTTTTTATCTGCGTTGTTTTCCTAATTAATCTTTGACAAATAATTATTTGATGTTGGATTTGCGTAAATCCAGGGATGTTTTGCTGCCTGGTAATTGTTATTCAGGATTGTGTGAAAATTTGATATTTATTAGATCTCAGTGGTCTAGTGGACTAATTAAGTATTTGCCTGTGGTGCAACATAAAATGTGTTCGGTTTTTCAAGATCACAAGTTTTTTAAACTTAATTTTTTGTTTTTTTTTTGCCCTTTTTGTTGCTGGTGTTTGCGAGAGCAGCTTTGGCTGTGTTTACCAGAAGTTCTCTCTGGAGGAAAACGTTTTATTCGAAATGGTTGAGTTTAAATGGAAAAGTGAACAAGCGAAGCTGGAGTTCGTTATATGGCAATTTATTTGAGTGAAAGAGCTGAATAATGCATCTCGTTTCTTTTTCGTTTGTGTGTTGGAATTACAGTTTGGCAACTGTGGTAAATTGATAACACATCTTCAAAATTTAAAAAAAAGCCGCTCAAAAGTTGAAAAAAAAATAGCCGCGTGCTGTGCAAAGAGAATGGAAGGTTCCAACCTGAGTTATTTCATCAAAAAAAGAACAAAAAAATCAATTGTTCTGTATAGTTTTTTGTGCTTGTGGTAAATGACTAAAAGCTAGCTTAAGACAGAAAGTGAAAAGTCTTATATTAAAAGTTATTTTAGGGCAAATTTAGTTTTAACTGCAATAAAATTGCAATTAAAAATAAGGAGTGAATCTTCACTCTGAATTCGGCTAAAAAACAATAATTTCTAACTTGCTCTCGACACAAATTTATGTTAAATTTTAATTATCAATTAAATCGCGATTGAAAGCATTTTTTTGATATCACTCAACGTCATCTGTCGTTTAATTGTGGTACTGAATTTTCTGTACGGAGAAAGAGTTGAAAATAAACGAAAACTTTTTTTAGGAATTGTGTGCACTAGTATCTCTGGTCGATATTTTTGCGTTAGTTGAGCACCAACCGGCTTATAGTTTTGCTCTGACGTTTGAAAAATAGGGAGCAACTTTTGTCTTCGGGTGTGCTTAAGTTTTTTTGTTTCCACGCAAAAAAGTAATAATAGTAATAATCGAAAGGAGGCGAGTGATATATTCATAATAAAGCAATTTAAAACGTGATTCGAAGGCTATTAAAAATTTATTCGTAAATTTTTCCCCGTATCGAAAAAAAACGTTACGATTTTTTTTTAGCTTGATTCAATTTTCGAGCGAGTAAAGCGAGAAACTACATCTAATAAAACTACATGAAATAGTCGGATACTTATAATTCAAGTACTGACTGAAAACTTATCTATACTTCAGTAAAAATAGAAGAAGATTTTTTCTGCGCCAAACAAAAACAACAATTTTTCCTGCAAACAATTTTAGAAAATTTTCTGTTGATTTTTGAAACAATAATTTTTGTTTCATTTTTCGAGAAAAACTGTTGCCGAATAAGCTAATATACTGTTATTATCAAATCTGTCTAAACTTTTGGCTTTTCTTCAGATTTTTTCTATTTTACCACGAACAAGGAGCAACCCAATTCCAAAAAAAATTGAGATGGTTTTTTATCTTTGTGGTCGTTGCTTTGTGCTAATTGCACAGCAACTGGCTTACCTTATTGTTCCGACTATGAAAAATGGACAGGAACTTTCTATTCGGGTGTGTTTTACTTTGTTTTCTATGCAAAGTCAGTACCGCAAATAATCATCGGACTGGGTTGAGTGATATATCATATGAAGGCCCTTTCAGTCGTGATTCGATCCACATTTAAAAATTTCACAGTGTCGAGAAAAAGCATTTTTTTTGTCTTATTTTAAACGAGTAAGGCGAGCGAGCAAGCTTATGCTTAAATTTAGTTTTGCTCGAGTAAAGTTAGTTTTTGGAGTAATTTCAATAATTCAAAACTCGTTACGATTTTTTTGAGTTTTATTCAATTTTCGAGCGAGTAAAGCGAGAAACTACATCTAATAAAACTACATGAAATAGTCGGACACTTATAATTCAAGTACTGACTGAAAACTTATCTATACTTCAGTAAAAATAGAAGAAGATTTTTTCTGCGCCAAACAAAAACAACAATTTTTCCTGCAAACAATTTTAGAAAATTTTCTGTTGATTTTTGAAACAATAATTTTTGTTTCATTTTTCGAGAAAAACTGTTGCCGAATAAGCTAATATACTGTTATTATCAAATCTGTCTAAACTTTTGGCTTTTCTTCAGATTTTTTCTATTTTACCACGAACAAGGAGCAACCCAATTCCAAAAAAAATTGAGATGGTTTTTTATCTTTGTGGTCGTTGCTTTGTGCTGATTGCACAGCAACTGGCTTACCTTATTGTTCCGACTATGAAAAATGGACAGGAACTTTCTATTCGGGTGTGTTTTACTTTGTTTTCTACGCAAAGTCAGTACCGCAAATAATCATCGGACTGGGTTGAGTGATATATCAAATGAAAGCCCTTTCAGTCGTGATTCGATCCACATTTAAAAATTTCACAGTGTCGAGAAAAAGCGTTTTTTTTGTCTTATTTTGAACGAGTAAGGCGAGCGAGCAAGCTTATTCACGCTTAATTTTAGTTTTGCTCGAGTAAAGTTAGTTTTTGGAGTAATTTCAATAATTCAAAACTCATTGTCTTTTTGACAGCAATTGATATGTAAACTGTTTTGGGCCAATTGTTTCTGAGCGATCAAGAATTGGCCAAAACGTGAGTTTGAAAATTTGCGAAAATTTGTATTTGAAATATAATTTTTATTTAATCAATTTGTCGCTTCGCGGAATCCGACGAGATGAATTTTAAATCATTGTTTGAATCAAAATCCACCGTGTTATTCTTCGCTATTTGTCTCAAATTATTTGCGGTTTTGTTACTATTCACCTCTTTACATGGAAATCCTTGCAGATAAATTGCATGATATTCTGATTTCTATCGCAATAAAACTTAGTTGTCCCTTGTATTGCGTCTAATGATGTCTTCGGCTGCCAAGTATCTGTTCCGCAACAGAGTGGTGGTAGTGACTGGGTCTGGCAATGGACTAGGGAGGGAGTATGCTCTCCTGTTCGCCAAGAGGGGCGCCAAAGTCGTAGGTACTCTAATTATGATAGCCTAAAATCAGATCTAATTTTCAAACCGAGTGCTTTTTTGTTGTTTTTCTGTTACAATAACTGCCAAAATAGGTGGTTTAAATTTAAAAAAATTTCTTACAAATTGCTCTGTTCTGCTGGTAAATTAATTGTTTGCTCAAAACAACCTTTAGTGAACGACTATGGAGGGGATATATTGGGAGGTAGAGGTCAACAGGGTTCGAACAACCCAGCCGACAGAGTGGTGAGTGAAATCAGAGCATCAGGGGGAGAAGCAGTGCCCAATTACGGTGAGACACTTCACGCAACTGAACACTTAATTTGCCATTCAAATAAAATCCAATTTGTTATTAACTAGCTTGTCAAATTGCTCTTCTCAAAAGTGTTCTCAATTAGATTCGGTGGAGGAAGGCCAGAAGATAGTGGACACTGCTATCAAATCATTTGGACGCATAGGTGAGAATTGAGTGTTTTTTGTTCCGACGACCTCTTGTTTCAGAAACTTTCACCAATTATTTTTGTCGCGTTATCTTATTTCAGTTTTGTCCCGTACCCTATGAAAATAACAGGTAGAATTTTTTTAAATAATAGCAAAAAACATGCTGTTTAAAACTTTAAGTTTGGACTTTGCATAGACTACTGTGATCAGAAATTTCAGTGCTTCTTTTTGCACAGCAACCAGTTACTCTTGTTTTCAAACGGAATCTGTGCTAATATTACAATTTAAAAATCGAATTTGAGTGTTTATTTATACTTGCTGTAGCAATGTATTGCAATCGGGTACTAGACTTTTTCCCGTAAATAAATTTGAATTTGTTCACAGGACTTACTAAACTCATTTCTTGGAAGCCTCTGTTATCAATAAATTTACTGCACAGACATATTTTGTGCATGCTAGCATTTTAAATATCTGTCCTATTCGAAATTTTTCGCTTTTTAGGTTGGGTGGGATTTCACCAACTCGATTTGTCAAAATATCATTGTTTTGTTATTTTTCTTTTCCTTTTTTCGGCTTAACAGGTTTCGGCCTAAATTATATTGGCCTCTTATTGTGTCGTTTGACGAGCAAAGAAATTGTGTCGTTTTCGAGGGTGAGGGGGACTTAATAATTTTTTTCTGAGTCATCAATTTGGCTTAAAGGCTACGGTATTTTCGACTTTATTACCGCTCGCTCAGTTTTCTTCCGATGCTAATTGCATTTTGTCTTGTCTTTGCATGTTTTTGTTTTAATGTTTTAGTTTGCATGTAGCTTTATTCATTTTGATATATCAGTTTTTTCTGCATTTTCTAGTTTTTTTTCGATTTTTTTTCGCTTTAGTGGCTTTCTTTTTTGTCGCAAGTGGTGCGAAGCTCCGCTTCGCTTGTGTGTATGAAGGCTGGCTGTATAATTTGGCACTATTCAGATGTGCTGGTGAACAATGCTGGGATCCTCCGTGACAAGTCCTTTCTCAAGATGACCGACGAGGACTGGGGTTAGTCGACTTACGATATTTTCATCAGCGACCACAAACCAGTTAAATCGAACTGTGATTTAATGGAATGTGTTATCTAAAGTAATTCAGCCAGAATTAGTGATCTAAGTTGAAACGAATAAGCACAATGGAGTCAAGTTCTCTGTTTCTTCAGCTTTCAGCACAATCAACAGGTTGGCTATTTTAGACATGATATTCCGAGTGCACGTTCGTGGCTCTTACGTCACCACCAAGGCCGCCTGGCCCCACTTCCGGCAGCAGAACTTCGGCCGAGTAGTTATGACGTCATCCACCTCGGGTCTCTATGGTTCGTTCGGCCAGGCCAACTACTCGGCAGCCAAGATGGCACTCGTGGGTTTGAGTAGCACTCTGGCCAAGGAAGGAGCGAAGTACAATATACATTGTAATGCGGTAGCTCCAGTGGCCGGATCCAGACTCACGCAGACAGTCATGCCACCAGGTGTGAGATTACAGGATACGTTTTTTAATAGTTACGGGTGCAGTTTTTGCCGCAGAAGAAGTTTGCCAATTATTTGCCTTTTGAGTTTAAAAAAAATTGAGCAAGAAATTGATCATTTCCTTCAAATTTTTAATGAATTTTTTGCATAAGGTAATTAAAATTTAACAAAAGCAAAACACTTTGCTTGTGTATGCAAAGTGTTTCGCTTCTGATTAGTGTTTCGCTTCCTATAATTTTGTTTTATAGCAGGACTTGGAAATTTTTATGTTAAACATAGCAGTAATAGTTCATTACAAAAAAGTGCCATGCTGAATATGTGTGATCGTGAGAGATCTCTTGACAACTGTGTAATGTTGTTAGATTTGGTGGATGCTCTGAAGCCGAGCTATGTGGCGCCTGTAGTGGCCTATCTGTGCCATGAATCTTGCCAGGAGAATGGATCCATAATAGAGACCGCTGCTGGATGGGCGGCCAAATGTGAGTTAACATTAATGGACTGTATTTGACTTCAGTCACTGGAAAGATTATTAGGAGTTAGGTGTTTTTAGGCCAGCTGTTTAGATCACCGGGAATCCAAATGGAAACTCAAGACACACCTATATCAGTTGAATCAGGTAGTTTATTTTAAAATCAGGCACGCTTAAATTTACCTGTTGTTGGACTCTTGTTGTAGTTGCCAATCGATAGTGAATACAGTAACAAGTGATGGACAGGAAAAGGAAAAAATGCTTCTGTTGCCGGCGTAGGCGAGCATACTTTCCGTTGAACATCCTATAAATGTGTCCTAGATATTGATATTCACAATGTTATGACAGGCCTATTCTATAGTTTCATATTTTTGTCTAGTGGCTTCTAACTGGGACAGTGTATGTGACTTGAACAGGAGTAAATTAGTAGCCACTTCTGACCAGCAGGAGACAGTGCAGAATTTACTCTCCCTCATCCAGGGCTCATCAGAAATACCCACTGTGGGGTCCAAAAAGGAACAGTCGACTGTTCGGCCAACAAGTCCCAAGGTAGACTGAGATTTAAACACCGAAACAAAGAATTAGATTGAATTCAATTGTTTTGCCAGAGCGTATTTAGCATGTCAAGCAAACTGAATTAAATAGCATCAACAGTTTTATGGCGAAAGAAGACATGTAAGGACCATCAAGGACTAGTCCTATTCAGGAAACGCAATCCAAAAAGTAGTGCCCCGAGGAGTTATTCAAATTATCTGGGAAACTATGCCGATATTCAATTTTTGTTTTGCGGGTAGTTCATTGAGAGTCACTGAACGTAATAAAGGCACTTACTTAGATATTCCAGTTTTTTGCACTCTTGTTCAGTGTCAAAGAACGTAGTGAAGAACTACAATAGGTCTTGATGATTTTGTTTGTTATTCGAACAGCAAAAGTGTAAAGGTCACGAAAAACGTGTAAGTCTTCTAATTTCAGAAATAGGCTCTAATTTTCTGAGTTCCCAGCCGAAAAAAAAATAGTCAAGTTTATCCTGATAGTTTTCTCTAAATAGGATAACATTCAGAAATATGCCAATCATAAACAAATCTTAAACTTCGAAAGTTTCTAAAGTAAAAAATATATTTTTTCCTGTTTTACATGAGTTCATTGACACTTTTACAATTTAGCTGATTTGCCATTGTTAGCTATTTAATAGCTGAATTTAATAATCCTTGATTTAATAATTTGATAACCCCTGTGCATTCATTGGATGATTCGGCCCCATTCATTTTATCGACCACTCCCTAGTGGGATAAGAAGGAGTTACGGCATTGGGTGGTTTTTTTTTCTGACGCATTTTGACTCCCTCAAAGAAAGCTCTAATCAGAAAAAGACAATTGTGGTAATTTGTGCTAATTGATTGTGATTTGGATTCCAAAAAAAAGAGTTTTCTAGTGTCGAGAGAAATAGTTTGAATTTTTGGTTTTTAGACTAAATTATACGAACATTGATGAGAGGCTGATGTCACCACTTGATTTTTACGCTTGCGATAAGCAAGCGTTATCAAACTGGAGTGGAGACTTTTTTTCGGTTTAACAACTAGTTTAACAAAATCAGTTGAATCACTTCTTTTCACTTCTCTATTTATCTTCACTTCTCTTCTTACTTTCTCTTATCATGTAACTCTTTGCTCCCCCTTGGTCTGGAGGTAAAGCAGTTGCCAACTTACCCTAAGGTCTGGGGTTCGAGTCGTGGCCGGATCTTTTTTTTTTCAGTATCAAGGAAATTGAAAAAAAAATTCCGAGAAAAATGAATTTTTTGTTTTTCGTTTGTCCGCTCAGGTTTTGCCGACTAAATTGCCACAAAAGATTTTGCTTGTTCTTTAATTAATTTTCCTTGTAGTTGCAAGCGCAATTGTTGTTCATTCTAATTTGAAGGGGGCTTGAAAATTTAAAAAAAATTCATAAAATCTTTTTTTTTGGTTCAGTTGGTGTCTGCTCAAAGATTGTTGGCTTAGTTGCCTTGTCACTGATTTTTTTTTATTGTAAGCAACTTCCATTGGAGTTACAAGTGCAAGTGCTGTTCATTCTAGTTTCAAGGGGGACTTGAACTTGAAAGATTTTTAGAAAATCATTTTATTTTTCGGTTGAAGTGGTTTCCGCTCAAGATTGTTGGCTTACAGTCACATCACTGATTTTCCTTGTGCTCTAAACAACTTTCATTGTAGTTGCAAGTTCACTAGTTGTTCATTATTGTTTAAGGTGGGACAAAACTTTTTTTTTAAATTTTTTTTTCGGTTCAACTTGTGTCTGCTCAAAGATTGTCGGCTTTGTTTCTTTTCGTAAATTTTGTTCAGTTGTTGCTGATTTAAAATTCCGGCTTGTTTGCCTGGAATGAACTTCTATCGAGACATATGAAAGTTTATATGACGTAGTTTTTTTCAAAAATTTTCAATTTCGGCTTTTTATGTTTTATTTTATTCTCCGCTTCGCTTCTGTAATATTTCAAACGTTAATTGCTGAAAAATGGAGATTGCTGCCTGTCGTTCTTGCAGTTTTTTTATCTAACTCAGTTGCCCTTAACTAAAAAAAATAGAAAATATAAAAAAATTGAAAAAAAAAGTTCATTCATTTTCTTATTTTTGAATTTATCATCTCAAATCGTTGTACAGCAACTGACTCTCTGTGTTATTTTAGAAGTATTGTTTTATATTTTTGATCTCCAAATTTTTGCACATATCAGAGGTTTATAATTAACCTATGTGAATTCATTGGATGATTCGGCCCAATTAATGACATGTGTCACCATGATGATGTATATGTTTAGTGAAGTGCTCACGATAGATATGGTTGTGTTGTTATACGAGTTTGTGTTGTTATACAAGGCCCTTTTTCTAATGTTAGTCGCACATTTCTGTTATTTTTGTGTTGTGTTTCGCTTGTCACATTTTAGTTTCTATTTTGCCATTGTAAATAGTTTGAGCTAAATGTGTGCATGCAATTAAGGCGCACTCAATGCTGTGTATATATTGCCCAGTAATCTCGGATCTATCAGTGGCTTAAGGCTTGTGAATCAATAGTTGGAACTCTGGACTCGAAATTTTAAAGGGCTCGAAAGTCTTTTGTTCGTGATGATTTTTTTTTTGTTTTTTTTTAAAGGAAAAGTCTCAATTTTTTTATCGGGGTTTTGATTTTTTTTAAGTTTAGTTCCTTTACTTTGTTAAAAAGAAAGCAAACTCAACTCTCGAACAGTAAATGTCAGGAAAAACGTGATCGACTTCTTATTTCGAAAATGGAATTTAATTATCAGAGCTTTAAAGTCAAAGAGCTTTAAAGCCATCTGTTTTTTTCTTGGAATTTCCAAAATTGCGATTTAAAAAAAGTCGATTTTTTTCGTTTTACTTGTATTTATTGAATTTTTTCCAATTGTCTGTTGGCTATGTTTTGAGTTAAGAGCTCTTTTTTGTTGTTTTTGGGAAGTGCATATCGGCCTTGGTTAAAAATCTTTATTTTTTCATTCAACTCTTTCTGTTGTCTGTTTAGCCGACAGAAGGACTGCCCCCTTTCAATGACCCCACCAGACACCCTCCTGACCCCACCCAGTATGTCATCACACACAGAGATGTAGTGCTATACAATATTGCAGGTCAGTATTCTTCAGTCGCGATTTAATTTGTGCGTGTGAACATTCGCGATTTACACGGCTTCAAACTGAAATGATCTTTCGTGCAGAAAAAAAAAATACATAAAAAGCAGATCTAGATCTGTGTTTCATTACCTGAAAAGAGTTTAGCTGATGTATTTCTCGCAAGTCTATGGTAATATAAATGTAAAGTCGCATAAATGTGACGTTTTTTGGGTTCTTTTATTTTTATTGTCTTATTTTTGGATACCCTAAGAGCAAACACTAAAAAAAAATTTCATTGCAGAGGTGATATTGAGTGATTATTACAAAAGTTTCACTGCCGTTGTAATTGATTTAACTTTCAGTTGGTGCCAAAGAGACTGAGCTGGACTTGGTGTACGAGAACAGCGATGACTTCGCAGCCATTCCTAGCATGGCAGTGTTGCCTGCCCAGAGGGTGATCATGACCCCTGAATTGCTCATGTCACACCCGAGGTTACAGGACATTGACCTCACAAAGGTTATATAATTATGGCACTCGGATTAGTTGAAGGTGAAAGTTGGCATAAATTGAAGTTTATGACTGACAGCTCTAAAGGGTTTCTTTTTCTATTTGAGGGAAGAAAGTCAAGTAAAAAAGTCAAATAAAAACTTTTTATTCAATTTCTTTCCGAAAACCAGGGGAAGAACAGCGGTTCTATATCAAAAGCTGAACAGCTCGAATGTTGGTCCTTTTCCTTGTGGATAAATCGTCTTAGCTATTTTAAAATGCAATGCAAGATATTTTAAACGGTTTGATGACGATGAATATGAGTTGTACCGTCAGCTAAGTACTAATGTTCTGTAGGTGTTGCATGGTGAGCAGTACGTGGAGCTGTTGAAACCTTTCCCCGTTAGTGGGTCTCTTGTGTCCAAAGTGGACATTGCAGAAGTAGTGGACAAAGGCAGTGGGGCATTGGCCATCATCAATGGTAATTTCTCATTGCTCCGACCAGTAAAAGTGGGAAGGGGCTTAGTCGTAGTTTGGTTTTAGTCTTAGAGTGATACATCGTATTAAAGCACTTTGAATTTTGTTTCGAGCAGCATTGCTAAACTTCGAAAACATTATCAACTAAAACTTCACTTGTGATCTTTTTTTCGTTAAGTTATGGGGGTTTAATGGTTGCCAAATTGGGGACAATTAAAGCGCGATATATTTCGTACTATTAACGCGTAAGCGGAGATTTAATCCGTCTAAGAAATCGTCCCAAATTAAATTGAGGCATGCTATTTGGTTTATTAATACTTTCCTATATGAGAAATATTTCACTTTATATTTTACAGCGTGTGGGAGATGATTTTTCATTTTTTTTTTGAAAATGTTATCCATTTCTTAAATTCAACACTACTCTATTGACCCTAAAACAGTCTGAAAATTCAGGGCTTCGCCCTGATATGAGCAGTCCTGTTTAAATTTAAACTCAAACAACTACCCGACGCATCTACTTGAGACGGCAAAGTCATGTGGTTCGAATCCGGCCGGAACCTGTTTTTTTTGCAAAATAGAAATTTTGAGCTCTTTTGGACTATCGTCTGTCTGTTTATTTTTGTCGGCTTAGTTCCCACAGAAAGGACTTTTTTGAAAGTTCGACTACTTCGCAGCATTCCGAAAGCTTCTTGTATAGTTTGTTATGGTGCAAGTAATTTTTTCTTGGATATTTTGGGCTTGTTTATGCAATTTTTATGAATTTTTTTGGCAAAAACGGTTGTTTGTTCAAGTTTTTTTTCAGTTTTTGATTTTACGTTTCACTTGCTTTTAATCATAGTAATTCATTTGGTATCAAAAATGTCGCGAAGCTCAGTTTTGCCCCTGTGTATTAATTTTTTTGTGATTAATGACCTTTGTAATTAATTATGCCTAATTTACCTATTTTTTTATGAAAGAATTTTTATTCCTTTGATGAATGTGGTCGGAACTTTTTGTGCTATTTACACTGCAACCGGCTATCCTTAGTTAGTCTTTCATGGAGGTTTGATTTATCTTTTTGTTTCTTGGAATCATATAAAACGACTTTTGATTTTATTTTTAAAAGCGAGCGCTCAAACAGGCATGAAGGGGTAGAATCCTAATTGTCTAGATGATTCCGCAAGTTTTATTTAGTACGACAAATGCGACTAAAGTAAATGGGATAAGTAAACTGGCAAGAGAACTGAAATAATTTTTGTAGAATGGATTGTCCATTTCAGTTGACTCGTTTGACGACAGCGGTGAGAAAGTGTGTTTCAACCAGTTCGGCATCTTCATCGTCGGCCATGGTGGCTTTGGGGGACCCAAGGTCGCAGCAGCAGCGAGGGTGAATTTTCAAACTATATATTTTAATATGCTTCGCTCATAACTAATTTTTGTATCGACAATACTAATCAGAAAGGTTAAAAAAATTCATTCCAAAAGAGCTTGAAAGAGTGAATTCTAAGTTGGATCTATTCAGCCCTTAGGTAAGAAGCCTTCGAGGGAACCGGACAGGGTAGTGAGAGAGAAGACAAGAGGAGATCAGGCTGCTTTGTACAGACTGTGTGGTGACTGGAACCCACTTCACGTCGACTCCAACTTCGCCCAAATGGCAGGTGCGTCATTTTTTTTCGCAATTGTATTGGATCTTGTGGTCGTTCATTTATAACAGCAAAATACAATTAATAATGGTTTACTGCAGAAAAAAAATTAATGATAACCGCATCCTTACGAGGCCAAACTGTGTCTTTTGTGAATTGTGAGCGGATTCCGCAACAAAGACGCTCTTTGCTCTTCTTTTGTTCTTTCGTTTTCTTTGATCATTCCGACAAAATTTTAACATAATTTAAGACTTGTCTCTGGAATCCAGAGAACTACAATCACCAAATTGTAAGCCTATCCAGCGCAGAGTTTGGCCTCATAATGATCGATTGTATCAAAAATTTGAATGAATCAATCGTAAAGGAACGTGACGTCTAAAAACTGCAGATGTATTTTGTTCAGGTTTTTCAAAGCCTATCCTGCATGGCATGTGCAGTTTTGGATTTGCTACCCGCCACATAGTCTCCGAGTTCTGTAACCATGACCCTTCTCAAATCAAAGCATTAAAGGTGAGGTTTTTGAGGTTATTCGAAGAGTGAAAGTTTATTGTTCTGACCACTGAAAGTTAAGGAGTGAGCTGTTTTTTGTTTCATCGAAAGTCCAGATACCAAAGCTGAAATTTAGATTAAATCCAGTGATATATCAAATTACAAAATCGATCAGCCGTAATTCGAGGTGCAATAAAAATTCCGAATATAACTACTGGGTGTTGAGGGAAAACAATCTAAATATTTATGAAAGATGCCGTGTAACTATCTCCACTCTTCATAAGAGCGATCTTCATTACACTTGCGCGCGTTAGTTTATTAGAACGAACTTTCTTTTTTTTCTAAGCTCACTCGCAAATAAAATTGTTCATTAAAAGTGTTCACTTATTTGGTGGTGTTTTTGCTATAATCACGATCCAATGCATTGAAATTTTCATAGCATCTCTTCTCTGCTTTATCTGTGGCTGAAGTTGCATTAATGCAACTTCAAAATTTCGTAGCATCTCTCCTCTGCTTGATTTGTAGTTAGCGTTTGTGGTTTATTAAGCGTATGTGGCTAAATGGTTAGTGGGTGAGACTCATAACCTCTAGGTCGCAGATCGAATCCGAGACTTTGCCGAATTTTTACTAATTCGAGGCTTATTTATAGTTTTTTTTATTTCACTTTTGCTATTTATATATCTGCTTTTCGCCAGTGTTTGCGAAGCGCTGCCTTGCCTCTGTGTGATTAATGAAACTTCATTTTGAAAATAATTTGATTCTTTTTGTTATACGGTGAGGCTAAAATGCCTGCATATGCCCCTTCTCTCTTAAAAACTGATGAAACATTTAACAATATTTTTTTTCAAGCCAAAGCTTCATAACCAAACGTTTTTAAACTTGCGATAGACTTTTTTCTCGTAAGTAACTTTGTTCACAAGATTCATTTCCTTGATGCTTCTGTCGGTAACAAATTTTCCGCAACATACAATTTGTGCATGTTAGCATTGTTACACAAGCAAAGCTTGTGTTGTAGTATGAACTCTCTATTTTTCCAATCTAAGTCGCAAATATTGTTGCGAAGCAAATATTTTTGCGAGAAAATGTGTTCATTTTGATCAATCAGCAGCTATTAAGTACAGCCAATACTAAGGATATTAACAGACTATTATATTACAAATTTTAGCTTCAAAGTATCATGGATCTGTAGGGTAGAGGTATGGAAGGAGACCCTTAACAAAACAAGAGGGTTCAAAGCTGGGCAGGGTCGGATGTTTTTGATAAAATTTTTCGCCTACTACTTAAAATGCGTCCGCTCTATAAATTGAAGCATTTTAATTGGTAAATTTCTTTTTTTTTTCAAATTGACTGGTACTGCTAATGCGTCATAATTACCTTGCGTCACTTAGCAATTATGTAGACTCATAATTGGCGTGCGTCACTTAAGAAGTTTTGTAAGTTCTAAGTTTTACTCATTCAGTTGTTCCCAGTAGCGTTATCGGTCATATTTTTGCTTGTGTATGCGAAGTGCAACTTCGGCTCTGTGCAAATCGCGTACTATGTACACAATTGTAGCGTACTGTTATACTTCAAGGCTCCTTTTTCCAATTGAAGTCGCAAATATTAGTGGTGTTTTTGGTGGCATTTTTACACCAGAAGGTTGAAATGGCTATTCAGTAAATGTGCGTTGACATTTGATTATTTATGTTTAGTGTATTAGTACGAAGAGTTTTTTTTCTAACCTAAGTCGCAAATAAAAGTGCACATTTGGTGGTTTTTTGCAATTTAAAAGCATATGTTGCTGCTTTATTTTTAGCTGGTGTTAGGTCCTGTTTAAAATAAAAGGATAATGAAAACGTTTGGGATTGTTTTTTTTTCAACGCTTTGGAAAATTTTCGCACTTTCCGCAGAAATATCAATTAAGTTGTAAATATCAAATTGTAAAAGACAACTGTGCCAAGTTTCAAAAAAGTTGTAATTGAAAAGTCGGCTGCTCTTCTATGTGCCTGCATATTTCGCTAGTCTCTTTTCATTTTACCCCTTTTTCTACGGCCTTCGAAAGTTTCAGTAAAGGGATTTTTGACCTATTTGTTTTGAATTTTTTGTTTTTCTCAAATACTAAAAGCACAAATCTGAGTTGAGGGTTTCAATCAAAAGAACAATTTATGGAGATTTTCTTTTCTCAAGCAGTTATTCTTGAAATTCATTAAAAAAAAGTTATGCCTCAAACAAGCCCATTTTTTAACCTTTTGTTAATTTTTTCTAAAAGTTTGATTTTGCTCAAAAACTACCCTGCCAAATCGGAGATTAGCGGTTTAAATGAAAGGAAAATAATCATTTATGCAAATTTTCTCTGCGCAAGCGGCTATGCCCTGCATTAAAAAAAATATGGCCTTAGAAAATGTCCAATTTTTGCCCGTTTTTTGAAATTTGTTCTTTTTTTCAAAAACTTACCTGCTGATTCTGAGGTTCATAGTTCATTCAAACTATCATGGTACTTGGGTTTTCCTTGCACAATCTGTTTTACCCTTTTTATTTGTAGAAAACCTGATATGGACTTCGGAAAAATCCATTTTTTGACTTTTTAACGTTTTTTTAAGAAGTTTCATCACTATTCTTGAAAACTACAAGCAAAGGCTGATATCAAGGGTTCAGTTTGAATATTGGGGTGTGGAAGTCTTCCCTGAATAAGAGGTTATGCCTATTCTGTGATAGAGAAAAGTTAGGAATTAGGAAAAGTCAAATTTTTCGTATTTTTTTGGAATCTTTTTTCACTTTTCTCGAAAACTACCCAAACAAATCTGAGATAAAGACTTCAATTGAAAGAGCAAGTAGTAGTCTTCTCCTTCAATTATACGGCTAAACATCGACTGAAGCAGAGAAGTCAATAGGGTTTTGCGTTAAGTCCTTTTTTTGAAAATTATGCATTTCCGTATCAGTACAATATATAATTAAAAAGATTTAAAACAGGTGGATGCAGCATAATTTACTTTCAAGCGACTGTGGCGCAGATGCGAGGACGTGAAACTTCTAATCAACAGGTCGGAGATTCAAATCCGGAACACTGAAATAGTTTTTTTGTCGAATTTTTGCTGTGTAGCATTGGCTATTTGATGAAACTGCAGCTGCTTTATTGGTGGCTAGTGTTAGTGAAATACAAGCCGACGTGGAGGAGATTTGGGAACTTGATACTCCTCGTCTCACTAAAATTCTGTGTTATTATTATTTTTCTTATTTCACTTTGATTTGCCTTTTTAGAGCTCTTTTTTGCATTTTCCTTGCTTGTGTTTGCGAAGCGCATCTTCGCTTGTGTTAATTCATAAAACGAATCGAAGAAATCTGTTGTTTCAAACAAAAGTGCAATAAAAACTCATTTTCAGAAATTTTTCAACTCAATATACAGTGCTGATTTAATCCGGACAAAATTATAAAAACAAAAAATGCTTTGGTTTTTACCAAATTTAATATGGTGCACTTTGCTTTGTGTGATAGTACGATGCAACGATTGTACGAGAGTGGCGTAGTGTGATAGTGCGATGCAACTTTTCTCCAACTTAAGTGGCAAATAAAATTGCTACTTAAGGTGCATCTGGTGGTTCACACTCTCTTATAGGTCATGATGATTTTTTTGTTCCTTTTTCAGGAGAAGGCCTTTAAATTTGTTCAGGCTCAAAACTTACTTTTTCGCGGTTAGACTTCTGATTTTTTTTAACCTCAGTTGACTTCCTTTGTTCCGAACATCCAAAGAGTAAAGGTCACGAAAAACGTGATTGACTTCTAATTTATGTGTGAAGGTGACTCTTTTTAAGCTACTTTTAGGCGTTGTTTGCTTGCGTTTGCAAAGTACAGCATCGCCTCCTTGTCGAAATTTGCTTTTCATGTTGGTTGTAATTTTTCAATTTGTTTTGTAAAAATTTAGTTTTTTTGCTTTTTCTCTTTTCTTTTAGCTGCACAGATTTCAGCCTATATAAAATCGGCTTAGTGGCTTTATGTTGCGTGGTTCGAAAAGCGAAAGTTTTTGTTGGGCGTGTGTTTGTGCTTTGAGGGGATTTAATATTTTTTTTTGGCTTTAGGATTTCTGCTTAGATGTTTTTTTTTGCTTTTTTAACGCTTAGTAAGTTATGTTTGCGATAATAATTTCACTTTCTATTGTCTTGGAATGATTTTTTTAAAAACTAGTTTTATTCATTTCGATCTTTTTTTTTCGAAACTTTCTATTTAAAAAGATTTATTTTTGCGGCCTTCTTGTGTTGTATCGCAGAAGCTGCGAAGCTTCTCTTAGTCTCTGTGTTTGAAATATTTTTTAACAATTTAATTCATTGTGGAAGAATGCTAACAAAGCATCATCCTGTATCGTGGTATCTCCATGAGCAAAATGTGTTCGCTTAATTTGTTTATATAGGGTTTGGTTAAATGTTTTGTTCAAAAAATATGAGTATACAACTTGAAATTTTTTGAAAATTTGATCTTGAAGCAGGTGTGGGTTGAAATCATGCTCAAAACTAGCGCTGAAATAATCATAACTGTTCTAAAATGCGAGAAAGTATAAGTATTGAAAAGCTTTAATGAAGTTTTGTTGAGGTTTGAGGCTAAACTGTTTAGTTAAAGGAAATTGCATAGAAAAGCTCCCAAAAAGGCTTTTCAACAAAAAAGGGTTTGTGCGAAACTGACTACGGTCGAAGATTCCTTCCTTGCACAGAAACCGGGTACTGTTATTTGTTTTTTTTTGCAATTAATTAAAATTAAATTTTAGGCTCGTTTCTCGAAGCCAATCTTCCCCGGAGAGACAATAGAAACCCGAATGTGGAAAGAAAAAGACACTGTTCACTTCGAATGTCACGTAAGAACCAAACTAACATCTACACATACTAAATAAGTTTCTAAAATGTTTCCCTGTGTTTATCTCTGAATCGAATCATTTAACTCATCACGATAGTCAAAGCCAGATTTTGTTCCCTTCCCTGTTTAGGCTGCTGAGAGTGGGAACGTCATTATCAGTGGAGCGTACGCCACTTTATCAGCCGATGAAAACTCCAAATCAAAACTATGAAACATCTATCGCTTGTCAAATGATAAGCTATTTGTCAGGCGGTCAAATATATATATTTATTTATTATCATTTGTAAAATTTGCATTACATTCAAAACCGTTTTTTTTTTCATGTACAATTTTTTGAAATCAGAGATGGACAAGATCTATAAGAATAAGATGATAGTGTTCTTATTCATCTCTCGAACATATATTTTCGTTCAAGTTGAACACTTTGATAACCTCTCGATCCTTGAGTGTGCATGACAGAGAAATCGGACTGAGGGCCCTCTGATTGACCAGGTATGGGTCTGCACCCGCGTCCAGTAGAATATTCATGGTTTCTTTCTGTTTGTTCTGCACTGCCAGGTGTAAAGCAGAGTTTCCGAGAAAGTCCACTTTGTTAAGTGTGTCTTTGTTCTGAGCAAGTAGTTTGACGATTCCGTTATAATTCTGGAAAGCAGCTGAAATTTGAAATTGGTTTTTTTTTTAAACGAAGTGTCAATGAACAAAATGAAGATACGTATTTAGGTCGTGTTTCATTGTTTTTCACGCACTTAATTTCATTTTAGTGGTTTGACTTTTGGGCTCTTTAATCTTGCGATGGCTAACATTCGATAATTATCAACTGAACTTTTCTTCCGTTTGACAAGTTTATTTTTTTGAATTGCACTTTTTAATGAGGTATGATATCTCCCGTAGCAGAAAATTTTTTAATTTTTCAACGTTTCGGGCATTTGTCTAAAGTTAACTGACTTGTTTGCCTCATTTAGGAAACATCTTCACAAAATCATGCTTTTAAATCGATTTGAATTTTAAATCAATTTTCAAAGTTTTCAATGTATAAAATCGTTGAAGAAACCTGATTGGAGTTTTAGCTAAAATATCTCGTTCAATTCAAAAATTCCGGCTTTTAAAGTCAGTGAAAGGAGTGGAAACACTTGTATAGGTCGTAAAATTTTAAAAGATAGTTTTAACTCTAGCTAGCGTAGCATTATGATTTGAATATAAATCATTTTTTTTTAATTTCCTTTAAAAAGAAGTGATAGTTCGGCGGCCATTTTGGTGTATTCACCAACATTGGAAATTTGAAAGTATCTGAAGTTTTTAAATTTCCAATGTTGGTAAACACACCAAAAGGGCCGCCAAACCATCACTTCTATTTGCGAGTAAAATAAGACAAAAAAATTCATATCATAATGCTACGCTCGCTAGAGATAAAACTATCAATTTTTTTCAAAAGGATAAAATAGCCGTTTTTGGGCACTCTTTGTAAGATTTTGACTAAGAAATTCCATTGTTTGGCACGCGCTACCCCTCAAAGTTAACATATACTAGCACCAATGGCGGCTTTAGGAAAAATGCAGCGTCGACGAGCGACAAATGGATATCGTAGAATAGTACAAAGCCTCACCTATATTTGCTTCAGCATTAAATAATGCCTAGAATTTCAGCAAGAACCATTTTTTGCAAAGACTTGCTGTCTTTTTCACAAAAGGAGCATTTTTTTGCAGTTTTATTAACAATTTTTTGGGATAATTGCCACTGTTTTCTAAAACTCAATTTCAAAGATTGAAAAAAAGTGTTTTGCAAGACATAAAAATTATTAAAATGGACTAAAATTTTGATGCAAAATTGAATGTGTTTGCTTGTCTGGTATTGTTTGAAATTTTCACGTCTGTTTTTCCTTGATGTTTCTAAAAAAAGTTTATGGCCTAAATAATATGTTTGAAAGTTACCCGAATATAGTGTCCTATTTTGAAAATTGTTATCAAAACATGTTTTGGTTCTTTTTCTGTTCTTTATTTCTTGTTCGTAAGCAATAAATTAAACATTTAATTATTTACGTCTGAGCTGCAAACTGTCTGCGCTGCATTAATTAATTGACAACTGTCTGAGCTGCAAACTGCCTTAGCTGCATTAAAAAGTAAGGGCTAATGTTATCTAGTTTTTACTCCCAGTTTCAAAGTGCTTTGTTTCATATTTTCCTTGTTCTTAAATACTTGTTTGTAAGCAATGAATTAATTTTTTAATTAAGACTTGTCTGCCCTGCAAACCGCCCTGCGACTTGTCTGCGCTGCATTAAAAAGTAATGGCGAATGTTATGTAGAGTTCTTACTCCCCGTTTCAATGTGCTTGTATCATATTTTCTAGTATGCATAGGGTTTTCTGTTTTCAACCTAATTACACTAGCGTCAGCTTAGCGTATGATTAAGAACATTCTCTATTTTTTTCTAACCCAACTCGGAAGTAAAAGTTTTCATTAAAAGTGTTCACTTTTTTGGAAATTTCACTATAGCATTGGAAATTGCGTAGCATCTGTTCTCTGCCTTTTTTGTGGCTATTGTTCAATCTTCATTCTACTAAGAAGGTTCCCTGGCTGAGTGGTTAGTGTGTGTGACTCCTAATCTCAAAATTGCATGTTCGACTTTCAGACGTCGACGATTTTTTGCTAAACCGAGGCTTCTTTATACTCTTTGTTATTGTACTGTATAAAGCTGCTTTTTGTCGTATTCTCGCTAGTGGTTGCGAAGCATAGCTTTGCCTCTGTTTTTTGCTCTATAGTTAATTTTAAGAACAATTTTTTGCAGCGTTTTGGAAGAGTTTTTACTAAAAGAAACACTTTTTATAATTAAATTTTTTAAATGAAAAGTTGCAGCAGTGTTGACTTTTTAATTGATTAGTTTAAGATTAGAAAGCTGGAAATGACTTGGATTAAAAATTAGTCGCTTTTCTTTTTTTTTGAGATTCATAATAAGAATTTAAGAAGTTTTTTTGAGTTTATTTGATTTTTTTGAAGCTTACATGGGTCTTCTTACTTATTCCCAAAAATCATTTTTTCAACATCTTACGTTGAATTTATTTTGCTTTACTTTGATTGGCTAGAATGAGCCAATCAAATTTCAGTACCAACTCAAGATGTTTTGTTCACAATTTTAAGTCGAATTAAAAATAAGCTGAATTGACATAAAATGAAAAATGTTTGATATACTACTCAAATTTTTTTTCAAATACGCTCCAGATTCTTACCCAGACTAGTAAAAAGACACAGAAAACAGCTCTAAGAAAAAAAACGACCACCGTATCTGCTCACAGTTCGGCCTTGTCAGAAGTCGGCTTAAGAATAAATAAAGTGATCCCGTTAACCAAATCAACCAGTGCTATCTGTATGTTGTTTTCATCATTTATACATTGAATATTAAAAACCGCAAACGAAATTTTGGCGGAATAAGTAAAAAGATCCGCGATTTGCTGAGTTTCTAAAGGGCAATTATATAATTGGAAGAGCTTCAAGTCTGTATACTTTTCTGAAAAGAAACTTTTCTTGAGTTTGTCTGGTGCCTATGTTTGTAAGTTTTTTTTTGGATTGTCAATGTTGAAGACCTTTCGGATACACCTGGTATCAAAAGTATTGCATTCTACGGAAACGTACTATTTTTTTGTTGAAAATATATATAAAACTCGTTTCAAAACTCGTTTTTTGGATTGTCAATGTTGAAGACCTTCCGGATACACCTGGTATCAAAAGTATTGCATTCTACGGAAACGTACAATTTTTTTGTTGAATATATATATAAAATTCAAAATTGTTGTAATATAGCAAAACACAAGTTAAAAAACCGACACTAATTATCATCGACGCTGGTAAGAGTACAAAAATTGAACGAGTAACTGACCAATATGCAAGGGTGTAGACGCCCTCATATTCTGTGGTGCCGGATCCGCACCAAACTGAAGCAGCTTCGAGCTCCCCTCTAGATCTCCGAAATTGGCAGTGAGGTGAAGGGGTCTCCATTCAAGTCGGTTGGAAAGATCGACACCTATTTTCTTCAAGAAAATGACAAAAATTGATGTCACTCTTTTCTTGCACATTCCGAATAACAGAGCGTGGATTGCAGCAATAACAGTTGTTTTGGCAAAATTTCAGCACAATTTTGTCCGAAATTGTTTTGGTTTTTTTTTAAATTTTTGAATGTTTTTCTTGGACAATTAGCTTATAGAGGCTTCACAAAACTAGTTACCAACAATCAAATTTACTTGAAAACAGCAGCGGATTTAGGAGGGGCGGGGGGGGGGGCGGGGGGGGGGCGGACGCTTCTCCTCAGGAATTCGCCCCCCTGCCGACCCAAAGGGTCCCCCATTTGTACTATATCCATTTTTGGCCGACTGACCTTAAAAATGTTCCAAAGGCGCCTTTGGCGCCAACCTATACTAATTTTGAGGGAGGAGCGCGCCAAAAAAACGCGATTTTTTGGTCGACATTTTCCAAAAGGTGCATAAAAACGCCTTTTTTGGCCTGTTTTTTTCACAAATTTGCCTGCGGAACAGAAAATTTTGCCAAATTAGGGTCTTTATAGTGATTTGGGGGAGCTCAGAAAATCAATTTGGTTGACCTAAAAAAAGGTAGTCAAAATTTTCAAAAAATGTTTGAAAATCCGCCCCCCCCCCCTCGAGAACTTCCTAGATCCGCGCCTGCTTGAAAAATATTTTTTTTTCTGCAGGAAATTAACGACCTGCTGGAATTAGGCTTATTTAATTGTTTGTTGTTTAAAATTAGCGGTCTTTGATTTTGTAAAACCGCCCTGGGTTAGAGCTTTATACCTAAATTTGACAATTAGCTTATAGAGGCTTCACAAAACTAGTTACCAACAATCAAATTTACTTGAAAACAGCAGCGGATTTAGGAGGGGCGGGGGGGGGGGGGGGCGGACGCTTCTCCTCAGGAATTCTCCCCCCTGCCGACCAAAAAATTAACGACCTGCTGGAATTAGGCTTATTTAATTGTTTGTTGTTTAAAATTAGCGGTCTTTGATTTTGTAAAACCGCCCTGGGTTAGAGCCTTATCCCTAAATTTGACAATTAGCTTGTAGAGGCTTCACAAAACTAGTTACCAACAATCAAATTTAGCGGTCTTTGATCAAAATTAGCGGTCTTTGATTTTGTAAAACCGCCCTGGGTTAGAGCCTTATCCCTAAATTTGAGTTTGAATAGTCGTAGAGAATTTTTTTCGGAGCTCAAATCACAGCTTTACGGGTTTTGTTATGATTCTCATCGATAAATCAGTTGTCGTATTGTTAAACTACTGTAAAGACTTACCCGGGATTCGATACAGCTGACAAAATTTTTGAGATCGAAGTCATAATTTGCATCCAGGAAACTTTCTTTAATGCTTCCGCATTTTGAAATTGCTCCTGATGCTGGAAACAGCGCAACAATTACCTGGCAACGATTTAATCAATCAAACTTAATTAATGAAACAAACGCATTTCAAGAAGAATTAAGAGACACTTACTGCTACTATCATTTGGGCTGAAAATAATACCATGGTGCTTGTTTACTTTTCGCTATTTCTCTAGATTGCAGAAGAGCAAGTCAAGTGCTTTGCAGCTGAAAATGAGATAAGATGTGTTGACATAATATGATGGTCATAATAGTCAGAAGACGCGCTGATGTAACATAATGGTCATGTACTCTATAAAATACAGATGAGTAGAATAAACTAGTCAATTTGCCTCATTCACTAATCCTTGCCAATCGCAAAACAGTGATTTTTAATCGCAATCACAGCTTTTTGCGATTATTTTGTTTTCCCAAAAAAACTAATCGCCTCTGAATTTAAAGTTGAGTTACTAAAAATTCTTAAATTTTTTTTTGGAAAGCTTTTATGCTTAAAGCTGTGCTAAACTTTTTCCCGTCACCATGGATTATCAATACAAAATTATTTAAAATGTTCTTTTTTCAAAGTCGACCAAGTCATTTGTTTTCCGATATGATCTTCAAGCAAAAGTTGCAATCCGCAGTCGAATTTTTCCCCACAAATTTAATATTTATTGGCACTAAACGCGCCTTTAGAGAAATTATTACGACCGGTAAGCTAAAAAAAAATATAGGTAAAATAGTAGCAAAGAGAAGACTCTATGGCTGGGGCAGTTTCAAATTCCTTAGAGCATGACCTCTCCTAAGTGCACCCCTGACCGACGTTTATTTCACCCAAATTGATGAACTAAACATCTTCGTCGGATCGGATTTTTCACCAGACAGTTTACTTGCAAAACCTTTGCACTGCAATGAAGATGGTTAGTGATGCGAGTTTTTTTTTCTGTTGATGCGCTAAAATCAATAAGAAATTGGTTGAACATAATTTTATTTATAATTTAATGCATTCGAATGCATTCGATTTAAATGTAGTGAGTATCCGTTTATACTAATGGACGAATCTTTTGATGGTATGACATTGACTGAAATAAAAGTAAGGGCTCCATTTAACTTCCATTTTATGGAAGTTTTTCCATATCAGGGTCATTTAGATTAAATTAACTCACTTTTGGATCTCTTATTGTATTTACCCCTTCTATAATAAAGAAAGAAATGTTGCTACTCATAAAATTAAGGGATATATTATTAGTTTAACAGTTGAGTTAGTCGTTTATGGAGATGGATATCCTTTAATAGATACCATCACTGAAAAAAGTGTTTAAGGAAAAGTAACTACTGTGGGAAAAGTTAGTGTAGATATTTGCTTGGTTGGGGATTAGAACATGGCAATAAATCAACCTTAATCCAAAAAGCCAAATAGTTGCAGCGATTTTTTCATGGCACTAAAAATTAGTTAATACAGCCCGATATTGGGTTGACCGGGCTTCAAAATGACATAGCACTTGTCTCAGTCTGACTTCCGTTTGTGGTACTTGATTATGCCTGAATAAAACGCCCCAAATAAGTCCCAAATAAGTTCTCACTACACCTGCGGAACAGAAAAGCAAAAAGTGATTTTAAAAAACTCGAAGCTCATATTAACATATTTGAACTTTTCTTCAGGTGTGTTACAAAAATCAATATGTACACCGAACTAATATTTCGAACCGTTTTGAAAAATTAAAAAAGTTAGGTACGGAGAATTCCCAAATACGAGCTCATAATACGAAAATGATATCTAACTGCCTAGATCAACAATCTGACAAAAAGTTTGTTTAGCTCGGGCGGATTTAGCTCAGGGGCGGATTTAGGGGGGAGGGGGGCGGGGGCGGTGGATACGAACGCCCCTCCCCCTCAGGGATTCGACCCCCTGCCGACCCAAAGGGTCCCCCTTTGGTACTTTTTAAGAAATTCGTTTTTGTCAGATCGACCCTAAAATCTTTCTACAGGCGCCTTCGGCACCAATATATACTCATTTTGAGAGGAAGCGCGCGCCAAAAAAACATGCAATTTTTTTGTCAAAATTTTCTAAAAAGTGCCCAAAAACGGTTTTTTTTACCTATTTTTGAAAAATTTGCCGGCGGCGCAGAAAATTGGGCCAAAACAGCGTCTTTTTAGTGCTTTAGGAGAGCTCGGAAAATCAATTTGGTCCACCCAAAAAAAAGGTCGTCAAAATTTTCGAAAATTTTTTGAAAATCCGCCCCCCTCTTGAGAAAATTCATAGATCCGCCCCTGATTTAGAATTTTAAATTGGGCTAAGCTCATTAAACAGAAACAATCATGCTTATACGAGTGGGCAAAACTATACGAGCTGGCCATGTTGGTCAGATGAAGACAATGATGTAGCAGGTGACATTCTCTGACAAACAACTGACCGGGACGAGTTCGTATTCCAGCAGAGGGGTTAGGTAAATCTGACAAGGGAACATCTAACTAAGTCGAAAATTGATAACTAAAATAAACATAAGATCACGTAGAAGAACAGTGTTATACTTGAAAAAAATACATGGCGTTGAAAACCCCCGAATGATTCAAAGAAAAGAGCTCCCGGAGCAGCAGCTATTGTCCCGAAGTCAAAGGAGGATTTCGAATCAAAGCGATGGAAGAAAAAGGCGACTGAGCAGCCTGTGAAACCCGAATTGGTTACAAAAAAGCTATTGCGGAAAAGTAAGTGCAGGACGAATCGCCAATGTTCCGTATTCTTTCAAGACCATTCCTTGAGTAGCGACATAGCGAAAGGAAGGGAGATGCGAGAACAAAACGTGAAAGGAGAAAAAGAAAGGAACGAGTAGGCGTGCATCCGCAGCAAAATGTGAGCGAGCGAGGAAAAAAAGCCGGCCATGGAGGCTAAAAAGAAGCAGCTGCAGCGACCAAAATAAAGAACAAAAGGGGAAAATGCGCGTATATTGTCCGAGAACGTCAAGAGTTTGGTGAGTGTAAGGCGTTCACATTAGATCGTCAGATCATGTAATCGATCACCTGCCATGGCAATGATAGTGTGTGAGGACGAGCTCTCACTTGAACTCTAGCTTCAGTTCTACCACAGCCTGACCAATTTCGTCTGCAATAGTGGTACCACGTGAAAGTTCTAGACGCAAAAAAACGGCCAGGATTCGGAAAAAAAGAGCTTCGCTCAACAAAATAGCTTGGAACGTTGGGAAATAAGAAAAAAACGGACTATGCTTAGATAGGTTGGATGGCCTTTCATAGATCCTTTGCGAATCGCAGAAACGACAATTATTATTATTATATATCAAATATAATACATTACTTTTATTTGAAGGGAATTCTAAAGGTGTTATTTAGCTTCTTAGCTTTTCAGCTAAAACTCAAAAATTCTAAAATTACAAAAAGCTTCTGATGTTCAGATGGATTTTTGGCAATGAGAACACCTCTAATTCAAAGGCTAATGAGGAAATGAAAAAAAAATACGGTTTTTAATCCGGCTATATTCTAACGAACAGTTTTATTAGTCGTATGTCAAAACTTAAACGCGAATTTCTATTACTTGTTGAAAAACGGCAGAAATAAGAACGAACGTTTTGTTCACTTCATCGCTTGAAAAATCAAAATTGCAGTGTTCCTTGAGAGCTTTTTTTCGAAGCAGCCTCCTCAAATTTCACCAGAAACAGTTTAATTTTCAGCAATTATTTTTTCGACTTGATATTTTTGGTTGTCACTATATCGGTTTGAATTTCGGTGTCATTTTTTTACTTCATAAGTTTTTCCGTGCGCTTAAAATATCGAACATTATAATAATGTTTAACGAGCCATTGGCTGAAAAAGTTCTGTTAGAATTGCTTCCGGGTTTGCAAATTATTCTTAAAATGAGGACACGCAGTTAATCCTGAATATAGTGAATTTACAATTTTAGCGCTTTTCAATTGGTTAAAACGATGATTTGCGATTGAATGGCGATACTTTATATTCATTCGTTTTTTTCGTCACTGGAAGGCTCGACTTTTTAAAGCAGATCGAACTACGCCCGGAGGTTTTTTCGAAACGGCATTACTGAGCATCTCAAAAATTTTTAATCTTCTTAAAATGTTCTCGCTAGAACTCATGGCGAGAGAAACCAAGGTCGTAACAAATGAATTTTCTGGTGAACGAAGAACAGTGTGTGAGAAAAGACGAAAACTTAAAGACTGGAACAAAGTTCACAAATTGCTCAGGGGTTGTTTTAAAGTTGATTTTTTAATGTTTTAGTTTTGCGTATTTTATGAAATTAAATTATGCTTTCAAATACCAAAAGTTATGTCTAGTTTACCGAAAATAGCTTATCTAGTTGTGAATAGGTGGAGTGCGTTTTGGGCAAATTTTATTTTTTCAAATAAGTTTCTTGAAAACATGTTAATTTTTTTCGGTAGGCTCCTCTTCGCCTGTGAGTAATTTACAGTTTTTACCAAGATTATGACTTTTATTTTTTTCATAGATATCTTTGTTGGTGTATATTATGGGGGGTTATATCGATTTTTGACATGAAAACAGATGGCTTACAAGATAATCGAACAAAATAAAAAAAAGTATATGAATAGATTTCGCCAGATAAGAAAGTAGACAAGATGAAAATAGACAAGGCGTACAAAAAGTAGACAAGGCGTACAAAAAGTAGACAAGGCGTACAAGATGAAAAAGTAGATGAATAGATTTTGCTCATGAAGATGGCACCCGACAAGTTAATGCCTTTTTGGTTTTCTCTCAAGCCGAAATTAATTGTTAACGTACATTTTCATTGAACATATATTATAAGTTTTGGCTGGAAAATAAAAATATTTGTTCCGACTTTCGATACGAAAGTAACGGAATATTTGTGCTCGGGGTGGATTTTTTTTTCTTCAGACAAATTTCGACTTTTTAACTAGCCAGTTTTGACAAATTTTTTTTAATATCATTCAAAAAGTATTGTTGTCCTGAGCTTAAATTTGAAAAGATATTTCACCTGTGATCATTTTTTGTAAAATTATGAGGGTTTAAAGATTGCCATTTTGACCAATTTGGGACAATTAACGCGCGATATAATTCGAGCTATTAGCGCGTAACCGGAGATTTAATCCGTCTTAGAAATCGTTCCAAATTGGTTGAAAGAAGCTTATTTTTACCATAATTGATTTGTTACAAGGAGCAAAATCTATTGTTTTTGTACAAAATATGGCGTGTGGGGGGATGATTTTCATAGAAAAATTTTAAAAATTTTAGGAAAAAAGTTTTTCATTTTATTTTATTTCAATTAATCTTTTTTGTGTTGTTTGTGTTATTACTGCTCCATAAACGTTAAAAGGCAGTCGGAACTTTAAGGGCTTCGCCCTGATACAAGCAGTCTTGTTATAATTGTTATAATTGTTATTTTTATTATTATTATTAATATTATTATTATTTTTATGAATATGATTATTATGATTATTATTATGATTATTATTATTATGATTATTATGATTATTATTATTATGATTATTATGATTATTATGATTATTATGATTATTATGATTATTATTATTCGTATTATTATTATACCTTTTTTGGCTAGATCTGGCGCCTATTTTGTCTGCGGCGCCCAAGTTAAAAAAGTGAGAAATATTTACTAAAATGTGAATTTTGTTTGATATTATACTGGTAGAGCAAGGTCATCACCGATTAAGACAATGAGTTGCCCGAATAATCATTTATTTGCGCTAACTTACCACTAACTAAACTTAAATTTGCAAACCAACTAGGATTATGTGAGATATAGTTGAGATCAGTGCTTTTGTAGAGCAATGGTGGCCAAACCAACTCGTACTGTGTGCCTAGTTCAGTTCGTGATCTACTGTAAGTATTTCTATTCAGTTTTTGTAAGTTTTTAGCCCCCCCCCCCCTCCCAACTGATACTTTCCTACACTTTCCTAAGTTTTTGTCCGCTGTGTCTAATTTTATACAGCTGACATGTCTCGACCCGGGCATTAAATTAATAACCCAATTCAAAGGCCTGGAGGCGTTTGCAAACAATTTTTCCAAGAAAAAATCTACGGGTTGCATCAAGGAGATGAAATTTGGCAAAAAATTATTCTTATGTGTGTTGTGTGTCTTGTTTCAGGTGTGTTCTTCTGTGTTCGATCTGTTTGTCACGTATTCCAGATATACATTGGTGTGTATAGTAGATTTTTACATCCATTTTGACAGAAATTTCTGTTTTTTTTTGCCTCAAACTTTTAAGCAGATTTTGGAAAAACTTCAAACCCAAAATTATTACGTCGAATCCAAGGACACAATGAAAACACTTGAGTTCAAATGTTCTAACAGTAAAATCACAGGCATTAGATTCAAAAGCAAAAAGTTGTTTATCCCCTCCCCTACCAATACGGTACCTATAAAAATTTTTGACCCCCATAGAGAACTCATTCAACGATACAGCTCCTAAAATATTTGCAAGAAAATATCGCATCATCTGGTTTAGTATTTTTTTTCGCGTATTTTTTTTGCGAGTTTTACATTATCAGTACTTAATGAAAAGTTCATTACAAAAAAATTCCGCGTATACTTTTCAGCCCAAGAGTACTGGCACTTGTGTCCGGCTGAGCCCAGACTGCCAATATGGAACCTAGTGGACGCCATCTTTGGACTAACCTTCCTCACAATCGAAGCCGCGGAGAAAGTTATCTTCCGCCCAAGTGTCTTTGCTAAACTGAGACATTATATTAAGCATGTATCTGCGTCTGCGATTAAAGTGTCCTGTACTGCCTCACGAGCTGCATGCGCAGTCTTTCTCTGCATCTGGTTTTTCTTCGGTTAGTACACTTTGCATTTGTTGCTTGAAATCATAAATATTTTATTATCACTACGTTTCTGGGAATCGCAGCGGATCTTTCAGTATCTACTAAGCTTGTCTAAGGATAGAGCGTCTCTGCTTTTCCCCCCATTCCAAACTAAATTGTCTTGGGTGCATGTAAGTTACCCGGGTTACCTGTCACCTAACCAGGGGAAAAACCACGTCAAACCAGGCTGGAAACCCAGATTTTTAGGCGAAATTTAAAATCGGAAAATGCCTACAAATCTGCCTGAAAGCTAAAAAAAATGGTCTCGCATAAGGAGGTAGCCAACAGGAAGTTACAGAATTTTTGTCAAGAAAAAAATCTTAGACTTCATGGCAGGGTTCCTAGGCGGCTACTTCCAGGAACACCAGGATTGCCATGGACCCTTTAAGTTCCTGACAGGAAGTCTAAGGTTTTCCCCTGGCTAGATAACCCGGGTAGACAAAAGCGAAAAATTGAAGTCAGACGAAACTTGAAAATGGAGAAATTCCGAAAACCTAATTTATCCAACATATTCCAATAAATAAACAGCCAAATTGCTCTTTTGGATATATAACCTTGTACCATGATAACAGGCTAAACATTCAAAAACCGAAAATGGAGAATAAAATCGACGAGTCGTTCAGTTCCACGAATAATGCCATTCTTAACGCGAAGGTGTTCCTGTTTGCGCTAATATACCTATGGGCCTATAAATTGTGAAAGAGTTTAGCCGAAAACTAAAAACTCAGCCTGGTTGAAGCAAATCTTCTATCTAGGTAAACCAAAGTAATAAAAAAGGCTAAAGGGACAAAATCGGCAGAGTTTCAGAAAAGTGGCTTTAAAAAAATGGCTCAAATAAGCTTTTTGTGGTTTTTATGCGGGTTTATTAAAATAGTAAGAAAAAAAGCAAAGCATTAGCGGAATAGATCAATTATACAATATCTGAGCAGCCAAAACTTTTTCAGCTGGAACAAATTCATTTCGAATACTAATAATGGAGATAAAAATTCAGAAAATCAAGTAAAATCTTTGCAAAAATCAAAAAACCAAATTTCAGTGACAAACTTGGAACCATAGAATTTAACCCTACAAATGAATTCATTAATCGAATCCTATAATCGCGAACCCTGTAAAAAAAGTTGATATATAATGACGTTTTGAAACTGCATTAGAGGATCCCTGGTCGAGATGCTCGATATATATTTCTAGTTTCTCAACCAAAATTGGCGTGTTTTGACTTTCTCGACCAAGTTTTGGTATTTTTCGACTTTCTTGACACAAAAAAAATTTTTCGACTTTGTTCGACCCAGTTCAGATATGTTTCGACATTCCCGACTGTCTCGACCGACATTTTAAAAAAGTTTATTTGTTCGACACCGCATAGATTTGTTTCGACTTTATCGGCCAAAAATGGCCTTGTTTCGACTGTGTTCTACTTATGTTTCGACTGTGCTCGATCTATGTTTCGACTGTGCTCGACCTATGTTTCGACTTTTTTGACCATAAATGGGTATTCGACTATGCTCGACTTATGTTTCGACTTTTTTGACTATCAAATAACATGAGTAAAATGGCAAGAAATTATAATGTATGCTTTTCAGTTGATTTTTTGGAATGATGCTTCATTTGAAAATAAGCTATAAGAACCTGTAAAATGCAAAACGCCTCAATGGAAAACTTACAGTTTTCAAGTTGAATCTCCCATTTTGCTTTGAATTTTTTTTTAGAAATCTGGACTGAAACTGTTGATGTGAAAACTTATATTTGAGGAATTGTCAAATTTACTTTTATCTTGCTGTTTTGCTGCAAACAACTCTCCTCAATTGATCGGTTGCAATTTCCTGACATAGGTCTTTTCTGAGCACTTATTTGCTCAATTTCTAAGTTAAATTTAATTAAAATCTTGAAAAAAAAAATTAAATCTGGAAAAAAATTAGGTTGTGCTCGACCTATGTTTCGACTCTGCTCGATCTATGCTTCGACTCTGCTCGACCTATGTTTCGACTTTCTCGACCAAAATCAGGTATGTTTTGATTAAGCTCGACCTATGTTTTGACTTTCTCGACCTACGTTTCTACTTTCTCGACCAAAATCGGGTTTTTTTTCAACTTTCTGCTCGACTTAAAATTGCTTATCGAACCCGGAGTTTAAGTCGCAAAACTGCACTTGCTCGACTTTCAAAGTCGGAACATAAATCCAGCACCTCAAACGGGGATCTAAATTGATTCTAAAATGGCGAAACTAGAGAATCAAAATGACGGGCAGGGGTTGGATGTCCTACTTATATCATAAGACCATGTGAACAATCACCCCCCTTCCAATTAGACCAAAAGAACCACCCAAAAATGACCTCAAACTTTGCAATTTAGAATATTACATTTATAATTAAAATGCCACAGTTTGGCAGAAATGATCTCTTTGGTCCAAATTACTTTAAATAGTTATCAGTGGTACTGTAAAGTTAATGCTGAGCAAAAATATGTCTTCTTTGAGAAGCAAATTGAAAACATTCAACGACTTTAGGCCAAATGAAAAATCTGATTTGTTTTCCCAAAGTTTCGCGTTGTCTTTTTAACCACCCCCCCCCCCCCCCCCCCATAGGAAATGAATATCGAATGTTTAATTGGAACTACAGAAAAATTGATTTCTGATCTGTCTAATTTCTCTATTTTCCAAATGAAGTTTTATGACCTCCATTCTATTGCTTATTTTTTTATCTAATTTAAGTTAGAAATCGTTTTTGGATAACTCTTTTTGCGTCTAGATTTTCCGCGTGATACCACTATTGCAGTCGAAATTGGCCAGGCTGCGGTAGAAATGAATCTAGATGTCAAGTGAGAGCTCGTTCTCTGGCACTTTCGTTGCCATGGCGGGGGATCAAATGGACTAACTGACTATCTCAAATTGAATGCAAACAAAGAAACAACCGTTTGATACTTGTGCTTTGAAAACTATAATTTTAAAACCATTTGACAAATATTTATCACTGCAGTAGTTTTTATGAATTTTTAGCAGTGACTTTTCGGTGTTTCAGGTAACTTTTTGGTGTTCGCCGTTTCGTATGACTTAGTTCACGACCAAAACAACACAACCGATACTGTGTTCTCATTGGTCATCCACTACAGCCAGCACAACCAATCAGAGACCTTGTTGGACATATTCCGAAATGCACAACATGTGTTCATTCCGATGGATGACTGGTCCTCCGATAATGTCTGCAACGCCACTCTGTACTGGGCCTCATTTTGGATCATAGTTGGATCCTACATTCTGATTGGTCTAATTTTCGGAGCAGCTTGTTCCCTCGCCTTTTGCACACTCCCAGTTTTAAAACTGCACTACTGTGTTAAAAACTGGTGCTCCAAAAATTTTTCATCGCCCAGCTTTTCTAGCAGTAAGCAAAATAATTATGGAGCTATTTGATATGTTTTAGAATTAAATCTGATTTCAAAATCCGTTTTTTTATTCATTTCAGCCAAAAAAAAACGTTAGATTGGCAAGTTTGGAATGCCTTCCCGCACACACTGAAACGCAAACTGGCATTCATTTGTATATGACTGGATTGTTAATAGGTCGCTGTGTTGAGGCCAGAACATAGTTCATAAATCAAATGCGCTTTTCCATATCACCTTAAGAATTTCAAAGTTCTTGACAAAACTGTTGAAAATTTCATGGGCCCATGCTGAAGTCTGTAAGACAAAATAAAACTCAAAAAAAAATGTTTGATAGTTTTGAAGCCCTCGTAAACAATTTTTTTTGTTATCAAGACTTTGTATCCACAGTTTTATTTAGAAGCAAAGAGGAAACAAGTGAAGTGTTCTGTACCCGCATAGAAAAAAAACAAAGATAAATCCAAAAAAAAAAGGTTTCGACAAGTTCTACCAAAACAGGAGTGCTTTGGAGAAAGTTACACATTTATGTGGGCAAAACGTTGTCGTAGATCAACGTAATTGTGCAACAATTTTTATAGGTCAAACCAACGGGTGCAAAATTTCGAAGTAATTGTCCCTTGATGCCATACCATGATTTGCCAACAGCTCAGTCTACAGAAGAGAACAATTAGTAGCCCTCCAGCAATCAAAACATGGGAAATCCGAGGAGACAACTATTTGAAAAATGGGCTCACTAGTTATTAGAAACCATTGCGATAAAGTGGAACAACTGATAAACTTTTGATCTCATTGAAATTGGCACAGAGAGCAAACGCCAAGTACAACTTAAATGTATATATATGCGTGCGAGTAATAAAAACAGTGTCATATATGAAAACTTTGTATTAGATTTAGATTTTTAGATTGACGTTTTGAGTTCCTTGTCTGTGGTTTTCGATGTTACAAAATGGAATCTGCCAACAGCCACGTCTAGTTCTGAAACATGGTCAATTTCACTATTCTTTTGAATTTTTCAGCTGACCTATCAAATGGAGGCAAAATCTTGAATCAGCACTTTTAACATGTTGCAGAAAGCAATGAACGATGCGAGGGAGGAAAAAAACCCGCTGGCAGTCACATTCTTCTATCCGAGCAAGTGTAGAGCATTGGATAAACCGTTTCATCTGTGGTGTAACTGCAAAACATGAGTTTAAAACCACATCGTTCTTTTTCTAAAGTAGACTTACCCGCTGGTCAAAGCGTTAACTCTGGATCTATGTATTGGAAAAACCGTACGGAGGCATAACAGACCCTTGTTTCAAACTTATACTAATGCTTGGGGGAACACGGCAGGAGGAACTAGTTAACAGGAAGCCTCACTTGGATTTTGCGACAACGGGACAGCCTCGGATTCTGGTCGAGTTTTGAGAAATCTTCAAAACGGAACGAAAATATTCGAAACCAATCAGGTACTATCGCGGAAGCAAAAAGAGGGAGATACGCTTCATCAATTTCATTTAGTGCTTAAGGGACTCGCAGCGTGATTTAAATTAGAAAAGCAAAAACAAACGAATTCTCTGGGACATTTTTATTGTGAAAATTTCAAATTAGGCCGGAGAGGCAAACTTTTACAGATAGATACATGGAGACCAATTAGTATAAATAAAAACTATAAATTATTGGGAAGCGGCTGGAAACAGTTCACGAAGGCAGTAACTTCAAACTGTTTTTGAAAAAAAATGAACCAGTTAGCCTAAACTGACGGGGATAATGACAACCACAGCCATTCGGAAGGGCGGAAGAGGAGCTAACCGGGTAAGTGGACGACACTAAACGGAGAGAAGTTGCTTAACTGCAGTCAAAGCGGATTCACTATGGACCATATCAGAAAATGCTTGGCCAGAAACGCGATTTGTAACTGAAGAAAGAAAACCGGACGCTACGAACGCACACCAGGGGAAACGCGGGTTACACAGAAGCGGAGTTGGCCTCCTTTTTTTTTGAAAAATTTGGCATAAGTGACCCACTTCTTGAGCACGAGGGCGCTTAGTCACAACAAGAGAACTCAGTGAGAGTGGTGAACGACGAGCCATCACCGAAATCCCATGGCTTGGAACCGAACAAATTGAAAGATTAAAAATTAGGGCCGATCCAAAGATAGAGATAAGAGCATGAACTGAATGTAGATTGGGCAAAACTTACACTGAACAGTAAGATGCACATGAGGCAAGCATAGAAACATTGTGGATCACTTATCTCTATCTTTACACTTAGAGAGCTTAGTGTACCTTGAGAGTGAGTGGTAAAGGTCAAGTTGGAACCACTGGGGCCGCAATCGAATGGGTGAACTACTGAAGCGGCCATCAACATAATTGAGGAAATCATACCTTCAATCAGCGGGCGCGAATTGATGTCTCATTTCAGCTTAAAACTGGTCGAATAGCCATCGGAGATGTGATGAATATTCAAGGGCAAATGAACAGGGTGATTATCAGGAAAGCAATATGAAGTACTTTTTGTGGCAAACCCTTGTAGTCAACTCATTTTGTGGCCGACTCGGTTCGTTTAGAAAGTTCAGTGTACTACTTATCAGGATTAGACGGTATAGTAACTAAAGTGCTCAGGCAAGGCATTTTTCAAGCAGCTATCGCTAATGCAAAACAAAGGTCAGCGTTTGCCTAAAGTGCCTTTACAGGATAAAGTAGATAAAAGTTTTAAAGTTTCATGAAAAAGGACGCCAAATCTGCGTGAAAAGAGTTGTGGCTATAAAAAGAAACATGGGCGCTTCAGCCAATTCGATTGGAGCATGCAAAAACGACAAATAAATGCCGCCAGATAAAGGCGGAGTTTCATGCGCTGGTACATCAGCCAATCATAAGGTGCGAAGCTGCACACCCGAGACCAACAACCAGAAAGGCACAACAATAGTTGGAACTATTACTGAGTACAAACTGAGTAAGTCGTATACAATTCCTTCAAAAACGATTAAATACTTAAAACATTGAAAGAATTGTTATCTTTTTATTGAGATTTCTTGAATAGCAGCACTAACTCTGATGCAATAAATGTGAAGGTGAACCTGGAAGCCATTACAACCGGAACAGCGAATGTGAACACAAACACAATTTTATCAATCCCAACAAGCAGCAAAAAAGAAATTTAGTCTAATTACAATGTAAACCGCATTTGGGGATATTTTAGAAGCCGGAGAAGTGGACTTTGTTGAAAAATTGAGGGCTACGGGAGCTTAACTCAGTCAACTCTTACATGAATTCTACGGAATTTTAAATGAAATCTTTCTGGATGATGAACGACCGACTGGCCATTCAAAACCCACTCAGAGCTGCAAAAATCAACTGAACTTACAGCTTCCCTTCTTGGGAAAGCGAGTATATCCGATGCGGCTGGCTTGGTTTCCGCATAATCACAGAACCAGACCCTTACAGCAGAGGAAAGAAAAAACACTGCGGCAGGTAAAAACTGAGAACTATTTCAACCAAAGGTGACTTTGGAATATCAGACAAACCTAGGGAGCCTAATGAAAGTCTGTCTCCAGCTTAACTTCTGGAGTCTGATAAATTTAATACAGTAATCGGATAAATAATGATTAATTAAGGTACATTGTTTCCCGCGCAGACCTTTGGCTATAATATGCAACAAAATGAAATCCCATAAGGTTATAAAAATGTTAATCAATATTAAGTTAAATAAATGGTTCCTCGGAAGGTTTGTTGGATCAAGGGTCTACGTTCACGTCAAAGCAACCAAACTATTCTTTATTGCCGAGGGCCTTCAAAAAGTTATGCTCGAATCTAAGTGACCATAGAGCTACAGAGAGCTACAGAATTTTACCAGTAAAAAAAATTTGCTGTTCTACCTCAACAGGCTCAAAACCCGACAAAATTGTTGGAGTTACAAAAAAAGAAGAGGATTCCGAAATTTTTAATGCCAGCCATGAGAAGTGAAAAAAAGACGAAGGCAAAAGAGAAAACTTGAGAAGACAATTCGAACTTCGAGTCAGAGTACCAACGGGAATATCGGGCAGGGGACTCCAAGGATATCGGGCAAAGGAAAAACAAGCCGGAGAGTCAAACTAGGCCTGATTGGTCAAAATATGATTGGCAACATTACGCAAAAGAAAAAATTCAAGGGAAGAAGAAAAGAAAGCAAGTATAATTGTAGCATGTAGATTCCTTGCTTTTCATTTCAAAATAACCGAGTAAAAGGGAGTGCGATGTATCTTTACTTTATTTTAAGCAGAGGGCGGATCTAGGATTTTCTTGAGGGGGGCGGTTCTTAAGGTTAGTTTGAAGTTTTGAGTCAATTGTCTGTTGCCTTCGGTGCTACCAATTGGTACCTGCCAAAAGCCACGTTTTGTGCAGTTGGTTTCCAAAATTTAGCCATTGTCGTTGCTTTTTTGAGTTATGCAGCTGGAATATCGAATTGAACTAACATATTAAATCAGTATTTTCAACAACGGTTGAAACTACCTGTGACTAATGGAAAATGGTTGATGACATTTCATACACAATTTCTAAATACAATACCATTGAGCAGTTGTCAAGGAACCAAAAAACTAGCGATTAACAGAAGCGGATTAAGTGGCTTTAAGTTTTTCTCAATCAGTTTCTTTGAGTTAACAACGGAAAAAATTATTTGGTTACGTAACCAAATGAAAAATCCAGAAATTGTTTCCAGAGGAGACATTGTTTCAAAAGCTACAAAACCAGCCGTAAATCGAAATAAGACTGCTCGTATGTCAGAGCAAGGCCCTGAGTGTTCCGGCTCTACTTTACAGCCAACGCAATTTTTGATTATTTTTGTTCCGACCATTGCAAATGGGGAGGAACTTTGTATTCGGGTGTGTTATATTTTTTTTTTTCCACGCAAAATCAGCTACCACAAAAAATCATCGCACAGGGTTGAGTGATATATAATAAAAAAACATATTCAGTCGTGATTTGAACCACTTTGAAAAATTTCAAAATTTTTTCACAGTGGCGAGAAAGTTTTCACCAGATTAAAGTTTCTGATTTTTGGTCTAATTTTGAGCTAACTAGTCAGGTAGTTGGTAATTGCAAT